ATCGTTCTTCGGCTGTAACGTTACTTTTTGGCAGCTTTGTCTTCCTTAAGATATTTGCTACGTCCTGTCTCAGTGATTCCGCGTCATTATATGGTATTTTATTTCGGTTGATAGCTTCTTAAGACCCGGTTAATAATTTAAATAATGTATATTAAACACGAAAGTTTAAAATTAACAATGGTACATAGTTTGATTAAATAAACATGTTATATTTTGAAAAAAAAAATACTTCAGGTTACTCCCTTACAAAACACCACTTTCATATGTTAGGACCTAATATTATTCAGACTTATATTTATAATGACAGCACCATTTTTGGCTGGTTATTTAGAAAAAATCTACCTTAAACTTGTAAACAAAAATAGTTTCTGTAAAACGAAAAAAAATACATGAAAGAAAACCTTAATATCTTGTATTATTGTGCCGCCACGCAATACAACAAACGGCAATTTAATTTCTATATAGGTACTTGATTTCTCGAGTTCTCGACTTTTCTCGAGCTTGATTTCCCGGGAACAAAACCCAACGATTTCCCGGGAATTCTCGACCCGAGAATTCCCGGGAATGAACCCTAATACTTACGTATACGTATATACTTATATATGCATTTAATGTGTTTATAAGGCGATATACAATAATTATCTTATTTAGGTTACTCTTTTATGTTACTCTTTCACGCAAAAACTACTGAATGGATTTTAATGAAACGTTACAATTATATAGCTTATATAGCAGATTAACTAATAGGCTATAACAGTCACGCGGGTGAGACCGCAGGCACAGCTAGTGTTCCCTAGTTCCAATTACAATTTGGACCAAACAAACTATCAGATACCTATTTATTTAGATAATCCACTAGAATACTACTAGAGTGAAGAGCTGAAAAGAAGCTAAAATAACACTGTAGCAATGCATCCAAGTTTGGTCGTATGAATGTTCTGTAAGTATGAACATGTCTTCTTATATTGAAAATAAATATTCCTATGTATATATGCAATAAAAACCCTGTACTATCCACACAGGAATTCGGGAGAATATTATTATTTATTAAAGCAAAAGAGAGTTGTAGCAAGCCTTTAAATGTTTCGTCACTTGCACCGAGCCTGCATCCGCACAGCTGCCCGACTGGTTTGTCCACTTGCGACGGCGGCGGATTGATTTAACGTTAACATACGATCCGCAGACCACGTTCGATCTACTCAGGTGCTTCATTACTGCTTAACTAGTCCCTATTTTGAGCATTGATTGTTTTGTTAGCATTATAATTCTATCAAGTTCCATGAATAACGATAACAAACCTATTATTTCAATCTCGACAATCTAGTAAAGTTAAACTTTAGTTAAAATATAAAGTTGATGTAAATTTAAGCTATTTACAAAAATTTTACTTTCATTGAAATTATTTTTTATTTATTACTTATAAGAATTATTGTTATGGAAATTGCTTTAGGTCGTAATCAAATGTGTTAAATCACTTTTATACAGTTCTAAATTAAAATTATGTTAATTTGCGCGTCAATATCAAACTAATTGACTAACTTTCGTGTGACGGAAACCCCCAAAAACAAACTAAATTAATCATAAATCCATATGACAGTGGTAGACTCTAACTTATCGCATTTAGCACGGCAGATGTGAGAAATATCATTTATTATGTACAGCACTACCTGGCAATGGGCTTGAAGATATTTTATACAATAAATAGATATTTTACATAAATATCCATAGTATATTCCTATCAGGAGAGCCAAAAAGTATCTTAGTTAATTAGTACCTATAATATGAAATATTAAAACTTTATTACTTTAATAAAATAGTAATGTTGACTGCAGAGATCTTGATCTATGAACTGTTCATTATAAGAAATCAAAGTAAATAAATAGATCCACATAGCCACACCAACTTTCTTGTTCTCAAATCATTACACATTGTGCAATAATACTTATATAACATACAGGTGGGAAAATACTACACATGTAGCTGAAACTTCAATTCAATTTTCAATTTAATTCAATCAATACAACTGAATACGAAATGAGTAAATAGCACTATACAGACATCAATTTCCATAGTAAATTTACCTCATAATTGTACTAAACAACTTCATTATTATTTTAACATTTTGCTAGTATTTTTCAATTGAATGCCTGGATTTCATTTATTAACCAAATATTAAGTAGTCTATCCCTATTTTGATTAGACTTTAAATATAATATCCAACTAAAATAATCATCCTATACAACTTATGCTATTATTTAGTATTAAAATACAACAGATATACAATAGAGATTTTTTAAATAGTGAAATAAACATACTTATAGGTGATAATTTAAATACTTACTGGTTTAGTTTAAAATGTCTTTTGTTGAATATAAATATATTAATATAGGAATTACTAACTAACTTAATGACAAACCTAAGGGCATGAGTTTTAAATGACATTTAATAATATAATACTAAACACACTGAAATTTTACATACAACTAAATTTAAAACCACATTTTACAAACCATCATTTTAGCTGAGAACCATGTCAGATGCAGATGCAGGGAATACTCTCTTAAGGTTGACCACCTTAAGAGAGTGTTCCCTTCAAATCACTGGGGATAATTTCTAGTTAAAATGTCACAATAAGCTAACTGACCTTACTTCAAGACATGTTCATGCTATTATGCTCTACTGGTTCCCCGCCTGTGTATATAATGTTACTACTCAATGGATTTATATTATATTGTAGTGAAATGGACTTCTGCAAAATAACACCTAATTTGATTAAATATATATAATGTTAGCTTACTACCAGTTGCACCATTATATTATCACCCCTTAAAAATACACATATATCATAATACATACCTTATATAAATAACTGATGTACCACTGACAAGTCTCCTCCAACCTAATGGCACAATTATAGCCTGTGGAGGATCACTGTGTGTAGTTCTTGAAATGGTATCCAAAGTATCAGTGTTTTGTGGCAACCCGGACGGCAACACTGCCAGCACCACACCATCCGCTGTGCGAATAAGCTGTGGTGCACTTCCACTATCACCTTCAGTCACTCCTCTGCTCACTCCTACTTGTTGGTTCAATATACTTATACTTTGATTCACTATTGACTGATGTGATACACTTTGTTCTAAAAACTGATAGTTTACATAGCTCCTACCCACTGTCAATTCTCTCTCATTAGAGTTAGATATATCAGCACTGGCCTCAACATTAACACTCTCACTAAACTGGTTCTGTGCCTGCCGCAGTGTGATAGGTGGCATAACACTATCTGAACCCACATGTATAGAATTTCTTGTTTGATATGTTGCTACCTCCCCTGGCTGTCCAAGTTTCCTAGTTTGAAAAGTTTCAATACTACCTAGCTCAGATGCGTCACCACTGTCTCTTTTCACATTTATATTATCCAGGTGATTACTCACTGCGCTTTCATCAGTTTTTAAACAAGGTTCTTTGTTAAGCTGCTGCGCAATAGGCACAAATTCTGGTTGAACTGTACTAATATCACTCGCACCAAACAAACCACGTTTACTATCCGTATCAGTGAGATGTTTATAGAAAATGGTTCCAGATGTATTTCTCTGATCATTACGGTCAACCTGTGTCCTATAAATAGAGTTTCTTGGCAATGACACTTGCTGCTGCAAGTTTTCAGGAAGATAGAGCGCGTCAAGGTGAGAGGGTGGTGGTGCGGCTGGAGGGGGGTCAGGGGCCGCGGCGCCGGGCTCTAGCTGGCGCGGGTCCGCCACGTACACCAGCACGCGCGGTGTGCCGGGCACGCCTGCTCGCGACGCGCCCACACTCGCGGGCTTGCCTGACATCGCGCACACACATCACACGCCGAGTAAGCCGGCTGTACATTAGCTGAACACACCAAGACGCGATCTTCCAGCGGGCCGAGCTGGACTCCACCTCGCATCGCTTTCAGCCCACCTATCATCGCTCAGCAACTTGCATACGCTTTGTAAACGCAGCAACATTCTCTACCGTTCGGTTTTTACGCATGGATGTCATGAAATATAATGGTTTTATGATGACACTAAACAACTGATCTGATAATTTTATGGCGGGGCCCTTTTCGGCCCCATTGTAAAACTTAACACCCGTAATATAATAAGGTTTTTTTAACTATTGTCTATTAATCACCAAGACTCAAAATTTTTTTTAATAAAAAGGTCACTGAATTAAAATTGTCCACTTCATTTCACACATACGCGAAATTCACCATTCTCCAATGTTAGAGCAACCGTAATTATTTATTTCAGCACATATAGCAATAATAATAAAAATATAGGTAAGATATCTCCATGAATATTCAGATGCTTACGAAGAGAAACACTGCGATTGCGAATAACGAATGAAAGATTAAGAAAAACTAGAGTTTGTAATAATATACGACAAGTTTATGTAGATACATTGGTTTCTTCAAAAACCTATCCAATTCCATACAGTACAGCAGTACGGCATCGAAAAAGAGAAAAAGGGACATAAAATGGTTAGTTGAAAATTTTAATATAGTGACATCTATCGGTGTTAGTGGTAATGATTAAACGATGCTACTTTACCGACAGTGTACCAAAGACTAAAATGCCACAAATTATCATAACATAGAAAATGAAGATAGAATATCAACGGATCTAGTCTTGAATGATAAAAGTATAATTTGCTCACCTTTTACACAGCGTAACAACAATTTAAAATGCACAGTCAATAATTTTTTTTTTGTAGAGAGAGATAGGTCTTGTATATAATCATTATTTATAATTATCCCATATAAATTATCCTAATAAAAATAGAGCTGCTAAAATGACGTGTCATTATCATTATTCAAATACCTTATCGAAATTCTATAGTATTGCTCCTAAATAGAACTAGAATACTGTAAAGAAACTTACAAACTTGGCGTCTTTATATAATTTTAGTTAAAATTTGGGGTAAAGCGAGATGGTCATCTGGCAATATAATCTAAATGTCAATCAATTGTTTGACATATTCTTTTTTGGATCAATGCGCTCTAATAACCTGAGTTCTAAAGTTTTAGTTTTCTTCTCTTCCTATTGTATTTCGAATTGTTTTATATTATAGTGTTTATATTATTAAACTATTAATAAATTTGGTCAACAATCAAAATATAATAATGAAAAGAAAACTTTCAAATTTGGAAGAAGAAGAGTCAAGGTTTGTTATTGAAAACATTAAAAATTTCAAAAAATATTCATGAGACTTATTTTATCTCATTCAAATGTAACTACGTTTAAATCTTAAGATTTTACCTGAATGTCGTGGTGTATAGACGAATATAAACTACTCATTGATGTTCAGAACTTTTCTGACATCTTTCACATGGTGAAGACATATACCGTGTATTTACAGAATATTTATCTACGTAGTGTTATTACTTGTTAAATCTTTACATTTTTCATTGGATATAATTTACAACCAATTACAAAATGCTCTCTGACAAGGACAGATGAGTATTATTATGAAGGTATAGAGACGCCGTAAATATTATGATTTAGTATTATTATTAGAAATTATTACACACAATGCTAGCTGAAGTGTAATACAATCTGCAACGGCAAGCTTATATGTAAAGATATGTGTACCATTCCATATACATACACTAAAACTTACTGATAAAGTTTATCTCATTAAAAAAAGAAATGAGCATTCATAATTTAGTATGATGATGAACATTTTCTGTGCGATAGCTTAATAATCTCAATTGATTACTAAGTTAAAAACCTGGTAGTGGTGAAATTCATGATGTATTGGTAAATTTTTATAAACTCAAATATGATTATGTATTGAAACCTCACTTAAAATGCTAGCCGACTGTCATTATTTTCTAATTAATAGTGCTTACTGGGAGTATAGATATAAAATGAATTATGATGATATAAATATTCTAATTTTATTGTAGTTAGTATGTGTTGATGGGTCAGTTTCAACACACATGTTTTAATAATATGTAAGTGCGGTCCCTTTATATTTATAAGACCAGGGTTATAGCAGAGGGGAAAATTTCTCAATTAAACTGTACAGATAAAATTTGTGTATCGGTTTGTGCACACAGGCTGAGCCTGTATTGTGTGATGGTGGTGTTTGTGCCCAATAGGAGTCAATCAAACAATGTTAATAAATTAGTATTATTTTCAGGTTATCGGGATTATTATTTCATAAATCAAAATTTATTGAAACAATAAAAAATGAGGAATACCAACATATTCCTGACTGTAATTTAAAACCAGCATGGAATGATGAAGATGATAATCAACAGATTGCTGGTACCACATCAATAAATAAAAAGAAAGCTGCCTATGCAGCAAGACTCAAGCAGAAGTATGAAAATATAATGGGTACACCAAATTGGGCAAAATTAACAAATAAATCTGAAACAAACCTTGAAGACACTGAGATTTTAAGGAAAGTTGGTCATATTAAAAAAGGAAAAAGAGGCTTGAATTTGCCAAAAGACTTCTTACAACTGAGAAAATTACTGAATATAAATCATGACTCAAGAAAAGAGGGTCATGTGATCTCATGTATACAATTCCATCCTAAGTTGAGTGTGGCATTAGTGGCTGGTCCGGCTGGAGTAGTATCATTATTCTCTATTGGTGGTGATACCAACAGTAAACTTCATAGTTTCAAATATAAGAATGTTGCTTCTGTTCACTTTTCTCCAGACGGATCTGAAGCATATTTATCATCTAAAACTAATCATTATTACTGCACATATGATCTTATAAATGCTACACAAAAAATGGTGCAACTTCCATACTGTGTAAAATACCCTACAATATTTAGATTATCTCCTAATGGAAAATATATAGTAACCTCAGATGGCTTTGATGAAGTCCATGTAATCTGTAACCACTCAAAGGAACTTATTAAAACTTTAAAACATAATTATAAAGTAGTATGTGTGACCTTCAGTCACAATAGTGACCAATTGTATAGCTATTGCATTCAGGGAGAAATTACTATATGGGATTTGTCCATATTTAGAGCTATTAAGAAGTTTTATGACAGTGGTTGTATAAATGCTTCCTGTATATCTAGTAGTATGTGTGGTAAATTATTAGCAACAGGAAGTCAAGAAGGCATTGTCAATATTTATGAAACTAATAATATCACTACTTCTGAACCATTTCCAATGAAGACCATCTCCAATTTAACTACAAGAATAACAGACATAAATTTCAACAATACTACAGAAATCCTAGCTTTATCATCAAGTTACTATCAAAATGCTGTAAAACTTGTGCATATACCTTCATATCATGTTTTTAGCAATTTTCCAGTACAAACAGATGATTACAATCGTATTCAATGTGTCAAGTTTTCCCCTAACAGCGGCTATATGGCAATGGGTAACAATAAAGGAGCTGCTTATTTATACAGATTGAAGTATTACAGGAATTATTAACCATGCAACAAGGGAATAATAAATATTGCATATGAAATTTAATTATTACTTTTAATTTATACCTACATTGTTACTTTTAGTTACTAATTATATTTAATTTAGCGTCAAGGCTGCTTTAAAGCGTATATCCGATAACCACATGCTATGTGCATCCTTGTTCTCGTTGACGATGAAACTTAATGATATCAGGGCGTTTAAGAGTAAATTATAAAAGCAACAAAGGTATATTAGGATATAGAAATAAGATGCTAATATTGTAGAGAAAAATAAAAGGGAAATTGCAGTGCTGGATTTATATTTTTTATTAGTGAGGCCACTATTTTCACCGCCCTATATACCTTTCTAAAATAATAATTTACTCTAATTTATTTATTTGATTATCTCTTTTATCCTCTGAAATAGAGTGACCGGCTCTCTCTGAAATCTCGTTTATTTTCGTGTTTTGGTTCGATTCCTAATACGGTACAAATATTTGTATTCTTAAGTATGATTCTTTATATCGGGTGTTTTGTATGTATACTGCGTATTTACAAAAAAAGATTTATGAATTTTAACCATGACACAAGCTTTGCTTATCTTAAGGCTATATGCACTAATTCTTTGGATTTATTATTATTATTTGATAGTCAATATATTAAATATTGACTATCAAATAATAATTTTGCCTTTGAAAGGTGCATAATAAAACATTAATTTTATGAGAGAAACAAATTTATTAAATTATACACGACAATAAAGTACATATTAAGGCATATCACAAATTTATAGGTCATAATAATACATCTTAGTGTCCTTCATTAGTTTAAAAATTGAATTAAATGTTAGGTACAACAAATTACTACATTTCAAAAAGAAAAAAGGGAATGGTAATGAGTATCTAATAATTATAGCCGACTAAATGATATCTACCTGACAAACGCTGGCAGTTAAGCACGAAGCCTATACTCTCGACATTAACCAAAAATACTGCAGTATTATTTTAACAGATATTTGTTAGTTGATTACTAATTTACAATATAATCGCCTGGATATACATTCGTACAGTGACACCACCACCAAAACCAAAAAATCTTGTACTTCAGTAACTAGAGCTAAGTCAACAGTACAAGAGCGGTTGCGTATTATCAGCGAAAAACTTCTGTTGTAGACTTAGTTTTACCGATTGTATAGATTAACAAAGAAACAAAAACTTTAAATTTAATTTAATTAGACGACTGTAAATTAGCTGCCATTCTAGTTCGTGTTTTGTTGATAACAAGCTTTTGGTAGCCCTGTAAAGATGAAAATGAAACAAACATCTAAATAATTACGGACTATAATTGTGAAAAATCTCTGTTTAGACTCTTTTCATTGAGTTTTATGGATAGATAGACCTGTATTACCTATATCCGCAGAAAATTAAAACCAAAATATACAAAATTTTAATTTCTGTTTTCTTTGTAACTTAGCATTGTGCATTAGAACACTGTCATTGTAATGATAGCGGTAAATAGGAATTAATATTGATTTTTATTTAATTTTAATGTATAAAATTTCATGTCAATATTATTGTGAAGTTATAACTTACCACTGATGTAATCCGACATATATTGCTTCAATCTATAACTCCAATTAACAGCTATTTACTAAATACATAAGAAAGTATATACTCACATGAATAAATTGAATTTTAGTCATTTTATCTGTCCGTTCGTCCCTGCTAATCTCTGAAACAGGTATTTTGGTGGAGCGCTCACTCGTAGATAGCTAATGTTATAAGGAGTAATTTACGCGACTTTCATTATAGAAGTGCTATTATTGATTAAAAAATAGTAATGTTCCACTACATTCGCAGTAGCGGATAACAGCTTATATAATATACAAAATTTCACTCAGAACCAATAACGGACTATTAAAAATATGGTCTTTATAAATTGTTATTGCTATCTTAATTTTGCCAAATCTAATACTCAAACTTTCAATTAGAAGATTTCATTTGTCTGGAAATAAGTATAATTTGAATCGTAAACCTATCTCAATGTTATATAGTATATGGTGCATCATTCTTCTAAAGCTAAAGTTACAACCAGAGTTTAATGCCGCCTTAAAAGAGGTCGAAATGATACTACCTTCAAGATAATGTCTTAAAAAGAATTTTGTGTAACTGCGTTGTAATGCTTTACATTATAAAAATAAAAGACATTAGTTTACTCTTGGAAACTAGGTGTGTAATAAAAAGAAATAGTATAGAAACGCTATCAAATATAGGTATGGGATGCATCAAACATTTAACATGTTCATATAATTATTCAAACTTCATAGCTGTAGCAGATCTTCGTACATCAAATACTAAATCCTCTGTTGTTTGTAACAACAAAGCTAAAACAACAGCACAAGGAGCCGGGGCATTAGTGGAATGTAACGAGCGATTCGAGAAAAGGTTATTTCTAACCATAAATTATGATATGAAGTACCTAATTTATTTTTTACACTGTATACCTAGAAATCAGAATAATATCTATGTTTTATTCACCCAATACAACTGTAAAAAAAAGTTATATATTATCTAATATCTTAGATCTTTTATCAAATACTCGTTTCACTGAACCTCTAGTACCCTGTACCTACAAATACTTTGTACAATTAGCAATGTTGTTTACTAGGACTTGCTAGGTAGTATTGTCAATAGTAATTTACTTAGGCTTTGTCTATCTAAGCTGAAAGTATAGCATATTTTATTGGGGTATCTTTTATACGAAATTCATTAGAATTGAGTCAGCTATTAAAGCGCGATTAAACGAAACTTCCTATTTATAATATCTATTAGAAGTTAAAGTTATTACTTAATTATACTAGACATTACTCTGTTAAGCTGCACATTTATTATGCATTGATTAACTTTTTATTTAGTCTAGTTGTCACTAGCACCTATCACCTACATCTTATTTTTCTTTTGAGATAAAAGATGGCCATCGTCGTGATACAATGTATCTTCACGTCAAATTTTATTAATGTCCATTCAACATTCTGTCATGAAAAGGTAACAAACAGACAAATTCGCATGTATAACGTAAGGATGGCTTTTGTGTTGTAAGACGTATTCTAATGTGATTTCTGTCTTTTTATTACTTATATATATATATATATATATTATATTATAAAAGACAATACCTAATTCCTACGGAACTAATATTATAAATATTAAATAACACATCATCAGGCATTGACACTATAATTTCAATAAACCACAGGTATATATATAACAAAACCTATAATTATAATAGGAAACCAATATGTTATCAAGTATATTAAAGGACTTAAAATGTCTATTATTCTGATTTCTGAGCACACTAATAAATGTATAGTAATATTTATTAAAGAATTAATAATATTACTGAAAGTTTGCAATTCCCAATTAATATACCACACCAGTTAAATAAAATCACCAATATAAGTAGAAAAATATTATTTAAATCAAATAAAATAATTGTTTAGATAATGAATTTCTACTCGCATGTTTTTCAATAGATGTAAAAATTATTTAGGTTACCTCCATAAGCTGAGGAATACAAAAGAATATTTACATCTATCTTTTACAAAACATAAATAATAATATACAAAAAAACATAATATGAATGTTTTTTTGTATACATATAGCAAATACAATAATGTTGAGACATAAAATTACAACTAATGTGACAGCGCATCTAAATGGATGTTACAACTGTAATAGCATTTGCTAAGACCGATTAATTACAATATTGTAAAAGCACTAAAATGCTAAATGAACAAATTATTTTAAGTAACTTAACATATAAGCCTATCAATATTAATCTGTTACATTTCACGCACACCATAAATAACTGAAATTACGAACTATTCTGTTAATCAATAGAGTAGGTAATGAATTAGGTACATCGGTAGTGCGTCTTTGTAACAATTTAACTAGTAGCACAATGAACTCGCTCCATGCCTGGTTGTTCTTCATAAGCATTGCCATGATGTGCTCGTCTTCTTCTATTCTCTTGATCAGGATCCAAATCCACCAGATTACATTCTTCAGCCAACTCCGGGATCTCCACCTAATATAATATAGGGCTCTGTTTACTAGTATTTATATAAATATAAGACATATTGAGTAAACATATACAAATGAAGTAATCACTTTATAAACTCAACTTGAAAAGCATATAACATACAAGTATAATAAAGATAATAAAATTAGAATAGTCTTTATCTTCCTGACTAATTTTGCATTATAAACATTAAAAAAACACAAAAAATAAGAAAGCTTACTCTAGGTCGAGCTGGCAGACAATTCTCCAATGCAGGAATAACTTCATGTGGAATACGTTCAGGAAAATTAACTAAGAATTGAATAATCAGTTGACCTTTTTCAAATGGATTTTTATACATAGGCATTCCTGGGGAAAAAAAAATTATAATGCATATTATTGACACTAATTTTAGTAAATACTATTTATACTAGTTATATTTGTGATAACAAAGTATATATATAATATTCTTCCATAATTACCTATCTGTGATAGTTAAACGATATAAAATGGTTCCAGAAACATACCTTCATTCAACACGCACTTGACATCGCCATGTTTGGTTACTTCTCCAGGCATCACCGTTATTACTATGTCTCTGTCATCCAAGGTCCTAATCACTTTTTGGTAACCACATAGTGCTTCCACCAACTCGATATTTAATCGTAGAATGAGGTCATCTCCAGATCGTTTAAATGTCTGAAAGAAAATGGTTACTTAATCTATACATATAAATAAAATTGGAGTGTCTGTCTGTAATATTGAAATAACCCTTATTTACTACATGTATATGAATATAAATACGATACATACACCAAAATAGCAATTGTTACAATTTTTGTTTACTTGTCTGTCTGTTTGTTCCGGCTTATCTCTGAAATGGCTGGACCGATTTGGACGGGACTTTTTTTGGCAGGTATCTGACGTAATAAGGAATAACTTAGGGTACTTTTACTTTAGGAAAATTCTTTTATTTTAGAAATATAAAGTTAAATTTCACGTAGACGAAGTCGCGGGTACAGCTAGTTTAAAATAAAAATTGTGAAGTAAGTGGGTCTCACACACGCAGATTCGACCACCTGCACCATTCTAACAGGAAACGAAATTACGGTATTCGGGGTGATTCGGGAATTCCATAACCTGCTGGCAGCCACACGAGACTTTTGCCAGATCTCCTTATTTTGTTCCTTAGAATCTGTAAATGCCAACTACGGCCAAAAGCATTACAATAGTTGGAAACAAGCCCAATATAAGAATATTGGATCTTTTCGAACTGTCAAATATTCCACACCGCTTTATATTTTCTTTACTATAATTTATGTAAACATCAGAGTGGGATTAAAATGTCGTTCCCGACTAGTGGGACAAATAAACAAAATATAATGTGCATTATAACTTATACTTCAAAGCCACAGCTTATACATTAGAATTATAAATTTTAATAGTTATGGACATAGTATCTGTAGTAGGTAATCTGAAACAGTTAAATTATTTTATGCTACTTACATCATGTTCCTTTTCATCCAACACAATGATAAGGTCACCTGGCTCCAATTCTGGCTCCTGATCACCTTCTCCACCGAAAACAATCTTCTGACCATCTGTCATACCTTTATCGACATGCACTTCCAGAATTTTACGGTCACGTACTGTCTTGCGCCCCTAAAATAAACGTCAGGAATATCATCAGCAATATCACTATTATACTTTTCTTCTTATTAAAAATTCACAATAGGAAGCAAAAGCAATATACAGATATTCTATACAGAGATCGAAAATATGTAGTTTGTTTTTAAGTGTTATTTGTCTCACAGAGTTGACAATATTATTATAATATGAAAATTATTTATATCAAAACACCACAACAAATACTATGAAATATTAATTCCTAAGAAGTAATACCTGTATATACCCATATTAAATATTCTTACATGACATCAAAAGATAAAACTATAAAAGAAAATAAATAATTCTAAGATTTAAATTGTAGAAAAAAAATACTCAATATTACTTTAGAATAATTTATTATTAGATTTAGATTTTAATTCATACCTGGCACACTTTGCACCGATCTTTAGGATCAATTATTTCTCTTTGCCCTCGACATTCACTACATACAGTCTGAATTTGTTGGATCATACCAGGTGCAAGCTGTTGTATTTGCACTTGCATTCCACTACCACGACAGGTAGGACAAGTTTGCACAGCACCCTAAAAAACAATAATATTATAACAAAGCAGAGAAATAATTAAAGTATTCTTAACAATATTTCAGAAGAGACCTACATTTAGAGAAGTTTCTATAAATTACTAAAATATTTACAATTCATACATGTATATCATATATTTAGTCATACCTTTTTGCCACCACGCCCCTCACATTTATCACAGATTACATTCTTCTGTAATGCAAGTTTCCGAACCGCGCCACGATACAATTCTTCAAGTGTTACTGATAACTGATGAATAACATCTTTGCCCTTTCGTTCGCGACCGCGCCTACGACCTCCGCTAAAGCCACCACCAAAGAACATATCAAACAAATCCATAGGCGAGGAGAAACCACTGCCTCCAGCACCACCTTCCTTCAATGCTTGCTCCCCACCTAAAAGTAGAAAATACATAATCTGGAATATTCCCCACAGTTTATTTATTTTGATTTCATCACATACACACTCTTAAGTTATTGATTCACAAAAACAAAATCAGAAGTTATGGATGACAAAATTAATTGAATGGTTTACCTTGATCATAAATACGCCTTTTATCAGGATTGGACAAAACTTCATATGCTTGTGAGATTTGTTTAAACCTTTCACCTTCATTTGGGTTTTTATCGGGGTGATACTTAAGAGCCAATTTTCTGTACTGCTTCTTTAATTCGTCCGTTGTACAGGCGGGTTTGACCCCAAGAATATCATAGTAAGTAGTTTCTTTCACCATTTTTACGTCCTGTTAAAAAAAATATAATGTTAAAATTCAAATTAAATGGGTTGCTAATAGTGCTTGGGGGATGCCAACAAGGCAAATGATGACAATGATTATTCATGACAAATATATAATGAATACTGACATCTAACAGTAAAGGTTTATAATATCAAATATTATATCCTCCAGTAAAACTCAGAAAAAAAATTGTAAAAATTAGTTGAATTTTTAATTATGTAATATGAACATTACTATGTCCTATCGAACTTACTCCTAGTTAAGTGCTTAACAGTACTTACTCATACTGTCAATATTAATTCTCACTACACTTTTAACCTTGATATATGAAAATTATGATAATTTCAGCCATATCACTTAAACTTGTTGTTGAATGACTGTCTAGTTTAGCATATTGGCTGATAGCTGTATTTCCTATAGAACTACACAGTCATATATTTCTTTTAATACTGATCATAAATGATTCCTTTTCAGTCATCACATTTTTTTATTTGTTGTAATTCAAATACAAGAGATGATTTAAAATATCATTTAATTATAATAATATAATCTTTGTTTAGTGTAAACTGTTAGAAGTGTGTTACATTTTTTTGTCGCACAAATTAATGATTTATAATGCATATTTAACAGTCAGTAATTTAAATAAATAATTAGTTTATACATTTACATAAAGTATTGAACTATAGTTTTTGAAATATAAAAAGGAGTTCCTCATTTGGTTAGTTCTCCCTACTGAGTAAACCCAACATCACAATGACTATGACATCATTTTGTATTTTTCTAATTTTAAATATACATATACAAACATTTCTACATATTAAACTAAAATTGATCTTTTACACAAATTTAAATCTAAACTAAACTTGTGATTAGAAAGAACTTAATGCCACAGGTAATATAATCTAATATTCTCATAATCATCTATAATCTAATAATCTAGTAATGAAACTACTAAGGTTAGGAGGGAGAAGATTGTTAATAAAATAGAGTTTTAGTTAGTCTCATTACTAGTTCTGACCTATAAGGTTGATACTGACTTCATTCTCATTCTATCTCACTTCACTGACGCCCCGTGAGTTAGGAGCATCATATTATTCCGTTGTCATTATATTGTCGAACTATCATGATATTAAAAAACACATATTGGAACAAAAAACACGTTAAAATTTAGTTTGGAGTACAATAATTTGTACTACAACTATAACTTATTTGCGAGGTTATGTAGTTGTCGTTCACTAGAATGTTCTAGTATGATTAATAATTTCCTTTACCATAACTTCATTACAATGCAAAAAAATGAAGACTTATATGGCTGTAATCTTTTTAAAAAACGCTATTTCATATTATTTATACGTTATTAAATATAATTTAAATAAATAATTAAATCACGAATGACGTAGTAAGTCAAGCTACTCATTTTAGGGAAAATAAAATAGTTATGAATTCTGGTAATTTGCGATTTGAGATATGAATACAATATTTTCAATCAAGCATGGTTTCAAGTCGTCTTCGAGGTTTTGATTTCAACAAACGTGACACCAAAGTTTAGCCTATAAAATTATTGATTTTATAATACTATAGGTGGTCTAGGTAAAACAGTTTTTAATACTCACTTTTACACGCTAACTTTTAAAGATTGATAATTTTACTAAACCTTCAAATTGCACCTTTAAGCACTGGAAATACTAGAAAGTTCAGAAAGAAACACTATGAAGCGTGATATTACTCTATCGCAATAAAAACGAAAAATTACTGAATGACGAAATAAAGCAAGAATGATTGGAACGAATGATAAATAAATAGCACGAAATACTATACTGAGATACGAACAGTGTTGACAGATGACTGTCTAGTTTTCCCGGTAAGGTGAATTTACTTAGGTCACGCGATGCAACACAGGTGCAACCGCCACATACATTTTGTTCCCACTATAATAATAATAATCTGAGGACGATTCACACAGCGCCATCTAGACCCAAGTTAAGCGATCTAACGCTTGTGTTATGGGTACTAGACAACTGATATAAATAGATAGACAATTTTTTTTTCGTAAATACATATATATTATGCATAGAAAATACCCAGACCGATACAAACAATCATACCCATGAATAAATGTTTGTGCCGTGCGAGAAATCGAACCCGACACCATCGGTCGTAAAACAGTGTGCGTAAGGCAGTAGCGGTCTACGCTAGACCACCAAGGTCGTCAAATTATATACCTCAAAATTACCCCATGACCTCAAAATCACGTAATGTGGTGGGACCCCTTTAACCTAATTAACATTTTCATTATCTAGGGAACTAACAATCCATTATCTAGGGAAGAAAAATATGCATTGCAATAAAATTCCTAAGAGCCTAATGAATCGATACCAGTATTGTGTTAGAAATGGATTGGGCGAGAAACTGATGTCATGTTTTTGTATACAATAGATTTAAAGTGATTACGGTTCCACATATGTACTAATCATATATATATATATATATATATGATTAGTATCACATGCTTGGTGAAATTAATCCAGACAATCTTCCATCAAGGGTTTGAAATGCTAAAAATACAACAGTTAGTATGAAGCTACAGCTTAGATTCAGGATCCACAGCAAATTAAAAAAACATTATGGCACTTTATTTAATAATTAGGTGGGAGCATATGGGTAGTTCTATAAATGAACAATAAGAAATGTTTTAGGCTTTTCTATTTATTAAAGTGACTGACTGAAGACTACTGACCGAACCAGAAGCAATTACAATAATTTACGTCGTTTTAAGTTACATAGCTCCTAATACTAAAAAATTTATACCTCTAGGAATGTTCCTACAGGTAGACAATACTTCTATGTTTGATTTGAACCTAGTTATCTCACCTAACACTACTTGTTATCGTTATAATATTTAAAAATATAGATTTTAAATAAATTTTTCAGTCAGAATATCTATTAATTCGAAAGAACTATGAAATTGAAATAATCTTAACCTTGCAGATATCGTGCGGGTAGGTTCAGATTTAATTGACTTTTAGAATTTTATTTAATTTCTTTAGAGATACTTTTTGGAGTCGATAATGTCGATAAGGTAAAGGTAGCAGTGTTACAATAGCAAAAAGTGAACGGTTTTTAGAGCACTGCAAAATTTTATATCCTTTTATAGTACCGCAATTTGAGAGTATTCAGTTTCCAGTCATCAGGGTCAAATGTTATACCTGTAGAGCATTATATTTTTGCTGGATATATTTTCTGTGTAAAATTTTTACACAAATAGAATATTATAACAGTGAATTTAGAATATGTGAAATCCATAATAAAGTTCTTTTATACTGTTCATATGTTTTCTCGGAACATACAATATTCTTCCACAACAACTTCTATTTGTCCTATCTACCCTAAATTGGGGGATATACCATAATTTAGTATCATTGGGCACGAATGAATGAAAATACGCATACATTTCGATCATGACGTTCGAGAACATTCGAATGTTTATTTTATTATTTGTTTTGCACGGTCATAGATACTAGCTGTTTCTGTAGCATAATATCGGTTCAACTCCGGTTTGAAATAAACCGAATTCCAAATAGAACTAGATTATAAAAGTGATTTGAGCAAATAAATTATGTTGTGTATTATGAGCTCCAACATAATGTGATCATAATAAACATGTAGGAATTCACTATACCCTTTAATTTTTTTTTGGTTCGGTATTTCCATTTTCAGGGAAAGGCAAAAGGACTCAGCCCATACAGCCATTTACCATGTAATTCAAGGTATCGGTGACAGTCGATGTCAGTGTCATCAAGTAGCATGTCGGCATGTCACATTATTTAACAATTGTCAACTTTTTTGTTTGTTTTAGTTTTCTAACTGTTAATCTATTACTCACTTCACACTTGTAGTAAAAGTATCCTTCTGTTTACTTATTGATAAAGAAACTGATAACTGGTTTGATAACGTTCATATTCACTACGATCGTCTGTCATTAACATTAGCCAGTAGACATTCAGTATTCACTGCTGTGAGCAGTATGAACAGTTTTTAGTTGATTGCATTTTAACTTCAGCAGTTCATTCGCAATTTTTATTTATCTTCATTCAGAGACTTCAGTTATAATTTTATTTAATTTGCTAACTATTATTGCAGTTCATATAAAATGGCAGAAAAGCAAATCAAAAACAGAGTTTGCATTATTGGATCAGGAAATTGGTGAGATTTCTCTTTTAAAAAAATTACTTGCGTGCTTTTGTTAATTATACACTTATTAGTTGATCACCTTTAAACTACTCGAGATATGACCTTAATACAATGATGACATAATGTAGTTTATATCTTTTAGTTATGTACTTTTTGTTTTTTGTTTTCTATGAAGTTTCAAATTTGAAATTGTAATTTAAAAACGGTTGCCAGGATGCCTCTTAACCATCTTATCTATTGTTATAATTATAACAAGGAAATGTAAATGTCAACACAATTTTAAGCTTAAGTATGTATTTTTTTCACTACCATGAACATAGAAAATATATGTATATATTAAAAGGTTTACAAATGTAAAATTTTTTATTTCCTAATAACACATGCCATCAGATATAATCGATTGGGCACAAAAATTACTTACTTTATTTAATTTATTTTCAATTTTTCATGAAGGGGTTCAGCAATTGCAAAAATTGTTGGAAAAAATGCAGCCAGACTTTCCAATTTTGAAGACCGTGTGACAATGTGGGTTTATGAGGAATTAATTGAAGGGAAGAAACTGACAGAAATTATTAATGAAACACATGAGAATGTAAAATATTTGCCAGGACACAAACTACCTGCAAATGTGGTAAGTAAAGTTCAACTTTTTATTAGATTTACTATAGATTATACTATAATAAAAGTGAGTATTAGCTGAACTTTTAAATTTATGGAGAAATATTTGTTGAATAAAGCCTATTATTCTCTAAACTATTATTTAGCAGACAACCTTATATAGAGTTAATTGTCCAGACAGTAATTTTTACTTTAAATATGTTAGACATATACCTACAATGCTATGTAATATTTAAATTTTGAAATTGGCTAAAAAATAATAATAAAAAAATGAAATAAAATGCACTAGATGAGCTTCTTGCCCCCTACTACTCAACTGAAGTAGCTAGCCAGACAGGTAGGTATGGATATTGGTAAAAAATAAGACATGCACAAGAGACGGAAAGGTTTTATGTTTATAAATATAATAATAAGCAGATTTATATTATATTATTACAAAAAAAAGAACATTTTTCTTAAAAAGTCTCAAATAAGAAATATCTGAAAGAGAAGCCCTTATACCTATATTGTAACAAATTATACACTTGGAACACATTTCAAATATGATTTGTATGAAACATATGACACCATGGTTTCAAGCTGAATTGTATATTTTGCAATTTCAGACTGTTTGAAATGAAACATTGTAGGAACTGCATTGTAATTCAATTAAGACACCAGTGTCAAAAGAAACTGGCAGCTGTGCCAAGATAGGATATTATATAAGTATAATATCCTATCTTGGCACTTGGTTATGCCAATATGTTATATTAAATTCTGCTTATAATATTTACCACACTAACTTATCTTTGATATGTACCTTATAATAAGTTTAGTTTTGAGGACATGTGACATTTCACAATGCTATATTTACTTCAGAAATTATTATATATATATATGTATACCTATATATTAATATTTTACACATAACTTGCCTATAAGATTTTATGTCATGCGTATATATATTATATTTGTGTGTAACATATATAAGTTTCAAAAGTTATTTTTATTTCGAAATGGAACAGTTCTCTATTTAACATTGTGCTTTCTGTTCTACCAACATACTTTTATCTTCCAATATATTAGAATTTTATTATTAAATAGATTAGGTGTTCTATCCTCTAATAGATTGGACTGGTGTTCTTGTAGATTTGCAAATTATTTTGTTAATGATTTATTGACCTTCACTGACATTCATTGTTATAAAGACAATAATACTGGGTATATATGTTATATAAGCTGTACCTATATCCTTCTTACTTCTGGGATTCTCGAGCATGGTCGGAACTGCTTTACTCTACTAATCCCCAGTCCCGCCCCCATGTAAATGCTGCTCTCATCTATAGGACCATCAAAACCACTGACTCGATATCTAGATGCTCCTTGCACCTATCTCAGTCTTATGACCTGGTTCAGAGAAGTGCCATGAGAATTGTGGATGATCTCAATGTCACTAGAGATATAGACCCTCATAGTGAGGTAAGACTTAGCCTGACTTTGCCTGTTCTATTGAATACATATATTATACAATGGATTGTGTTCTAAGAAATTAATTTAATATGATGTCCGCAGCAACCTTATACCATTACACCACTTGGCTTCGGAAGGAAATTCATCCTCACACTATGAAACTTCAGTCATTTCAGAGGCATTTACTTTTACGGACACTCATATAATCAAATGAACTACCTATGAGGACTATAGGGGTGTTTCAAGAAGTGTATGTTAGGGTTTTTTGAGAGACGGCAATGCACACGTTTATTAACATTTACCATCAGATGGGTCGTATTCTTGGTTGCCACCACTGTGGTATATATTTATGTGTATAAAAAACGTCTTTGGTTTCAGCAAAATATTAAAAGTATTTACATATTTATAATCTAAAAAATAAATATTAAATTTAACAAAAAATGTATATTTATTGTTTGAAGAATAAATACAGATTGAGAACTAGAACTTTGTGATATCTAGATATTTGCAGTGTCACGTGCATAGAATCTATTTATATCTTTCTATCATAAGGGAGTTGTTCCATTGCCAATGTCATTAGGTAACCATTCAATGCTATCAGGTTTATTGTGTCTGAATGTTAAGTGTCTATATAAAGAACAGGCAAATGTAATCTATAATTATTTTGTATCTGTATTCCATTTACGTTTCATTGTATTATTAGGTTTCGTACGTGTTTTAAGCACAGTTAAGAATTGAAAGTGAAAAATTAATAAAAAACGTCGTGTACATTATCTTATACAGACACAATGTCAAATATTGCTTTCACTCCCATTTAATTTCGATGTTATTATTTAATAACAAAACAATATATTAAAATTAAGTAGGTAATGGTTATTAAATGACGCTTATTACGGCTAATCTGCTGCCCTAATTTGGTTATAATTTGATATAAGACAATAATACTTTAAATGTAAAAAGCATCTTGCATTAAGGGCTTTTTACCTAACCATATAGTTTTGTGATAATATAAAAATAATCTATTTGCTTATAAATCAGACTTACAAATAGGTAAATAACACGCTTGTAACTAATGTATATGCAGGTATAAATAATGTCGCTTATTATCAAAGGCTTGAAGATTACAAAAACTTCGTTGGTGCTATAAATACCTACAATCAAACAAACCACATAAATTCGCAAAACATTTTATTCTTAATATGACACTTTGTCCGTGCGTCTGTTACAGCGTTATATTCTAGGAATTGCTCATGGCATCGAATCGATATATTGAATAGCCTAAAGCTGTTTATTTAGCTGCTTTTAACTGTTTGTTACTTAATAACTCATTTTCAATATTTCTTCGATGCACAATTCCGACTCGCACTTGATTGATTTTATAAAGCAGGAGACAAAATTTTATGTAAACATTCTACATTATAAAGTAAGAGATATTATAGAGCTTGTATTAGTATTCTGTTAATTGAACACCTAAAGTAATGGAAAATTTTTACTTGCATGATTTATAAATGAGTTGGACCGTCTATAATGCCTTTAGTTTGAATATGATTAACCGTCAATTCTATATTTTTTATATCTTATTTAACTTAATCTAGATTTTATACACACAATAATGTAAATATAAAATGTTGTAACTTGGTGTACTTTAAAAATTGTAACATTGTATCTTGTACTTTATTTATGGACACTAATTAATGAAATGCTTCATTTAATAGTAATTAATTAATTAAATATATTTTTTGTTTATATAGGTTGCTGTCCCTGATTTGGTAGATGCGGCTAAGGATGCAGATATCCTCATTTTCGTTGTGCCTCATCAATTCGTACGAACTATATGTTCTACGCTTCTTGGGAAAATAAAGCCAACCGCGGCTGCACTATCATTAATAAAGGTATTTCCCTCTGATCGATATAACAGAAAATTTAATCAAATTGATATCAATGTTTAATTTTTTGGTTTATAAACACTGACTGAACCTACTCACTGTACTGCTATAATGTCAAATATACTGTGCTGGCCTCTCAATTATTTTAATTCACAAATGAATTAGTAATTTTAATAAAGTATTTATAACAGAGTTATAAACACTTAAAATGGTTTATCTACTTTTACGTAATTCGCATCCGTTGATTGACTGGTATATAAAATTTTGCTGTGTGTTTCAGGGCTTCGATATCGCAGAAGGAGGTGGCATTGATCTGATTTCCCACATCATCACAAGATGTTTGAAAATTCCTTGTGCTGTGCTCATGGGAGCTAATATTGCATCCGAGGTTTGTACATAGTATATAGTAGTTCTATGCGTAATCAAGCTGGAATATTTTTTTAATTTCCTATAATTAATATGTACGATCATTTTTATGAAGTATACCTAGTCAATTCATCTACAATAAAAAATAGTAGTTTATACCTACCTAGTTAAGTAATTGTTTTCGTAAAGACAATTGCATTAAAAAATGCCCATACAACAATTAACATTAACGTATCTCATTTTTTCGAAATCATTATCTCTGATTGATATTATTGATCAATTCCGAAGTTTTTATAATAGATCGATAGTGGTTGTTCTTTTATAGATTGTCTAAAAGTATACTTTATTCGTAGTCTACTTAAAACCATTATTAAGTAGATGATATCTAAACTATACTTTATTGATAGTCAACATTTTATGCGTTTGTATGTCTAGAATAATCGCCTGTTCACCGTAGGGCTCGCTAATTTATAATAATTATAATTTATAGTTTCGTCTCCGGTTTTGTATGAGTTAATTGCTCTTACCAATTACACATGTGAATGAGTAATAACTACACTTGAAATGAAGTCCAGTGCTATAAATATATAAGTAAATACTTAGCATTGGACTTCATTCCAAGTAATTGCTGCTGAGTGATAAGATACTCTTTAACGTAAATACATGATTAATTTTGTTCACTATACAATGTTATGGGTTGAGTAAATAATTTTATTCCTTCTAGTAAACTGAAAGCCATGGAAATCTTTATCCATTGTATATTCCTTGTTCTATTTAGCTAATATAAACTAGATAGAGACAAACAGAATTTCTATCCTCATCATTAGTCATCTTCATTGGTGTCTCGTCAGATATTCTTCAGGGATTATACACTTAGTCCATTACTATTTAAGGTTTTTATCAATAATGACGACTCGTGAGTTAGTGACTTCCTACTCTGACTCGGTCGTTAAATCGAATCTGAAGCGATATGAGAAACTTTGTGTCAATATAAATACCATTCTAGTTAGTGGAAAACGCTGATAACAAATCAAATATTAGTCGAAGACAGTGACAACATATTTAGAAGCAAGACACAAATACATAATTATTTTTTATGTTTACATAACAGCGGACTTCTATCATGATGATATTAACAATATATGACCAACACTGGGCGTAAATTTCACATATAAATTGAAAATTAATTAATTAAAGTTGACGTAGATAACGTATAACATGCACTCAAGACAAATAAAGACGCTTATTTTTCAATTGGATAAAAACTTTCTGAACCATAGAATTTATCAATATAAAATATTTATATATTCTCTCAGGTAGCAGAAGAAAAATTCTGCGAGACTACTATCGGGTGCCGCGATGTATTGCTGGCACCGGTATTGCGTGACATCATACAGACGGAATATTTCAGGGTTGTAGTCGTCGATGACGAGGACGCTGTCGAGATCTGCGGAGCTCTTAAGGTTTAATCATGATTTCTTTCTCTAATTACTGTAACACTAATATTTAATAACGCATTATGTTTTAAGTATCACTTTTGGTGTCATGACATCCAGAAAAGCACTCCTAACAGTTGTGTCTGAAATTGTTTTGAAAATCTTATTTCATAATTTATTGAAGGTGATTCTTATGTCATATAAAGTTTGTTTAACACAATTTCTTATTAGTTTAATATTGAATTAAACAAAGAATTATGAAAATACAATAAGTTTTGTGTTTGAAATTTGAGCATGAAATGCAGGGAAAACACTACGGTCTGTGATACAATAGGCATAATAGGTAACTTATTCCTAGTCAGGTCAAAATTGAGTACATACGAGTATTATACCATGTGACATATATTACATACATTACACTACTTTTGTATGAAGACTCGTGGAATATGGGTCTTTGTGCAGCTAGACGAGTGTTATACTCTTTCTGTTACGTCACCAGTTTTTTTGATGAAAATTTTACAAATTCTTAAGTAACAAATATTAATATTTCTTATAGAACATAGTTGCTGTGGGTGCTGGATTTGTTGACGGTCTTGGTTTCGGTGATAACACAAAAGCAGCAGTTATTCGGCTAGGTCTTATGGAAATGATCAAATTCGTTGATGTATTTTACCCTGGTAGCAAGTTGAGTACATTCTTTGAATCTTGCGGGGTTGCCGATCTTGTTACCACTTGCTACGGTAAGTCTTATATATTAATTAAATAATAAGTATTTCAATTCAAAGATACTATGTATGCGTACTTATACCTGGTTATCAACAAGAGTTCGGCCCATCCAAATTTTTTTTTACGTTTTGCATTCCCACTACACTACATGCTATATCCTTTACCTTAATTTAATTCTATACACAGGTTTCGGTTATATAAAGCCTCAAGCTTTACTAAGGCCGCCCATCCAAGTCTAGTGCGTTTAGATATTTATTTCAAAAGCAATAAATAAAAAAATATTAAAACTATGATGCACAAATACAAAAATAAAGGTGCATATGGCGGACTTAACACCATAAGGTATTTTCTCCCAGTCGATCATAGGGTAAACAGAGATTAGTGGGCAGTGTGTTTAAGTAAAGTGTTTAATAACATGAAATTATAACATAAAATATATTAAGGTTTTAGAGAATCGATAACATAAACTGACATATTGGAAAAAATATTTCGAGTATAATACTGATTGCAACATTTCAGGTATTTCGTTGCCAGAATCTGTTCGCACAAATATGACATAATATCATTAGCACACATTCTCTGAATTCATGTTAGCTGTTAAATGTTTGCTAAAACTTGCATTCTCCTTTAAACAATGTATGATTTTTTATAAATTTGTATTAAATTTATTTAAAATAATCGTTACAAAAATAACAATACATTAGAACACAAAGTATAACGAACTTTGTTGTCAATGTCTTCCACTCAGATTTCGATTTATCTTATTTATTTTTGTACCTCATTTGTTAATGAATCACCGAGATATACTTCCGAGGGACTTTGATTGTCCTTTGTTAGAAATTAAATGAGCGGATTAAAGCCCATCGCGGGCCGCGCTTTGCTCGCGGACCGTACTTTGCCCATCAATGTAGGTTATAAACCTCGACATTTTGGTACAAACAAATGGCATTAGTCGATAATGTCGATAATATTTACACACATCCGTTTATATACGCAGAAGCACAAAAATAGTATGTTAATTATTATAATAGATAAAATATTTATCTAAAAGATAATAGGGATTGACTTGATAAAATAAACCCTTATCAGCTGTATTACCTGTTTGTTACTAACAATATGTAATACTTGTTATGTAGGTATTATTATAGTCTTCACTTCCACTTACAAATACTTCCATTACATCAGATATTATCTGTTATGTAACATTCCAAACTTAAAGAATGTACAATTTTATCGAAGTAGTGTTTACATAAAGTCTTTATTTTAGGTAATTTAAAAAACAACACATAAATAAGTAATATTTAATGTATTACTTATTTATGTGTTTCATACTTTGACTCTTATATTTTTGTTCTATATCAACTACTATACATTCATTTTAATCTTACCAAAAAATATATTTGAACTACATTTATTTACAAAAAGCAACATGCAAGTTTCTTGCTCAAGAATAATATGCCTGAACCTCGTAAAAATTCCTTAAATTAAAAAGTACCTTTTTTTTAATTTGTGTTAACTAGGGTTTATTTTTATTCTAATAGTATCCGATAGTAGTTGTATCGTTACAAAATTTGCCTTGTAAATATATTGTTATATATATATAGTAAGAAACAACATATTTATAAATAAAAATGTGAGCAAGGGTGGGCTTATCTCTGAAAGAGATCTCTTCCAGCCAACCTAACGCTGTGTCAGTGGACATATAGCGGATAATGGTAGTACAAGAGTTCTAAATACACAAATAGAATATTACTATGTACAGTCAATATATTTATAATACATGTATAAAAATATACTATACTAAATAAAGCAAATATATATAAATATATATAATATATAACGACCTAAGCACATAAATACATTAAGCGATTAAATATTTTAGTATTGTAGACTTTGAGTTAATCCTTGTTAGAAGAGCGTTTTTAATTTATGTTATGAATAGTCCGAATAACCAGTACTGTCTCGCAACTTGATAAGAGACCTGATCTAGACATCAGCCGGCAAAAAATAATCAGGTATTGTTAGTTGAGTATAAAACATTCTACGAAACAATTTCGATATATTGTAGGTGGCAGAAATAGGCGAGTAGCAGAAGCCTTTGTGAAAACAGGCCGTTCTATAAAAGAACTAGAAGATGAGATGTTGAATGGACAGAAACTTCAGGGACCAATAACTGCCGATGAAGTGAACCACATGCTGGCTAACAAAAATATGGAGAACAGGTAAGTTTATTACAATTTAAAATAAATTATGCCGACTTCTATTTTAATTATGTTATTGGTTTATATTATTTTGTTATATTACTTTGAATTCAGTGGAATTAAACTACTGTACTAGCGACTACTTGATCACAAAAAGGAAATGTAGGTAATGCTAGTGATAGTCTGGTCTCCGCACTGAATTTGTGGGCTCACACATGCTACTGTTAGCAGAATTAAACAAAATAATATAAATCGATTATGCTTACAGTAACTATTAAGAACAACCCAAAATCAGTGTTTATATCATGTTACTTTATTCATAGGTATTACTTGTCACTTTTGTAGGTCCTGTATGGTATAGGTAAGTGATAAACGGTTAGTGATACGTTCGTGAGCTAAGGTTAAACCACACATTAATGATAGATCGAATTATTGCAGTGTGAGAAGTAGAAAAATAACTAAATATTATAGTATTCATTATTTCGCTATTTTATTTCTAACACTACATATTGTATTATATAACAGTTCATTCATCGAGTTGATGGAAAAATCCAGTAATATAAATGCCCGTTAAAATCGGTATGTGACGTTTGTATTATAACGATTAACGTTAATTGAACGATACGGTATAGTGTGACGACCAAATACACACGGAATATGTAGTATAAATGATAAAATAGTACTATTATAATTACATAATATTATTATATTTAAATACTGCGCCGACCCCAAATAATATGATAAAGGCAAGGCAATGACGTTATTATATATATATATGTTAACAGTTTCCAAAAGAATTAATACATGAAGAAATACGTATCATTTAGAATAACACATATTTATGATGTGATCTATGAGGTGGCACTATCATGCGTCCTATCACGCCACCTACAAACGATGTATTAGTAGATCTATCAATAATCAATGTAATATTCTGTAACGAATGAACGACCTATGACGAACTCTCACACGACCTATCACGCGACCTATGCGACAACTATTATCGTGTTGACGCGTCTAGCTACGTGATTTATGTTTATCACTATAGTGTACATACAAACCAACTGTTCGTGCATTGAAGAAAAAACCAACTAAACAAAGCGTGCTGATTAAAGAGACCGTAGCTGCTTCGTGTTTAATTATATTGTACACGTAAAAAACGCGTGCGTATAATACTAGGCATTACATAATAATTAATAAAGTAATTTGACAATAGTGGTGCACGTATTCTGTGTTACTAAACAGTTTTAAATATTTTTTGGTGGTAGTAACAAATTAACAAATATAGCGTATTTCGAATCGCATTTTATGCTTTTTTTATTATTAACTAGCTGTCCCGGCAAACGGTGTTTTGCCATATAAATTAATAACGCAATAAAAAAATAGGGGTTGATGATAGAAGGGTGAAAATTTAGGATTGCATGTATTTTTGTATGTTGTATCATAAAAAAATAGAAACTAAAAATTTTGTCTAAAAAATAAAAAAAAAATTATGGGTGGACTACCCCTAACATTTAGGGGGATGAAAAATAGATGTTGGCCGATTCTCATAACTATTCAATGCGCTCACAAAATTTCATGAGAATCGGTCAAGCCGTTTCAGAGGAGTATGGAAACGAAAACTGTGACACTAGAATTTTATATATAAGATATATGTATAATAATAATAAAGATATCAATATTTTTGAAGTAACATAAAATTAAATGCTAATGTAGATGCGTGTACACACATTTTGCATAATTTCATTTAAATGTGTATGAAAATAGAATATCTTGGCTCATACCCATGTAGTTTGTGTAGGTTAAATCAGCTTGCACTGTATTTTGTACATTTTAATACGCTCTTCATGACAATCATCGTATAAACAAAACTGTTTAAAAGCATTTACTTAATACTATGAAGTAAAATAGACAGATTTTTTAGAATATTTTGAAATTTATGTGTATTTTTCTTGTTTCTTCCTAATCATATTACTGGACGAATTTAAGTTGGTTTCTCTGCTCTCTCACGTAACCTAATTGAACTGGCTACATACAGTTAAGTTTACTCACACTATAGTATAGACTAACACTTTAGTATTTTGTCAATTTCTAATATTTTAAAAGGTTACTTCATATTGCAACGGAAGTACTGAAGTGTTTATATGTTATTGTATCGCTTTAACCGAGGGTAGCGCTTAGCAACTGATATGAATTGGATATGTATAGACTAATAGTAGTAGATAGTATATTTTTTCTCTTTGAGAAGGGTGAAATATTGCATTTACCCGTCCTATTTATTTATTTATTATATTTGAGCGACCAGCAAGACATCCACTATGTAGTTACACTTACTATTATTTCCGAGAAGTTCATATATATAGTGTTGACTTAATTAATGATTGCCACGGCATGTGTAAATGTTTACAGAAGTTTATTTCGTTTTTATTTTCTTTTTATATGAAAACTATCGCTTCTGGAAATGAGCATTTGAAATCGTGCACCTCCCTTGAGATATATATGTATACCGGGTAATTTAATACCACTATTTTTTATGTTACAGGTTTCCACTTTTCACAGCTGTGTTCCGTATCTGCCGAGGCGAGCTAAAACCTAGTGACTTCATTGACTGTATACGCAGTCATCCAGAACACATGTAAGACTCATTCCATGCATCAGCTTCCTATTTGCCAAGCTTACATTTAGATCATTATACAGCCCGTTATGTAGAATAGAGGCAATAACTTAACACAGTGTGTAGATTTATTATACAAGGTACTAGTACTTAGATAAACTGTACAGTCACCGACATTGACGGAATTGATAGATGTCGCAATTATTTCGTTTAAATAAAAGCATAAAAATTTCATTTTTTCTTTACTGTGATGTTACAAGAGCTATTTATTCATAAATTCTCACTTTCCTTTAGAATCATTAAAAAATTATTTTATCCAATGCTGTTTCTTTCGTTCATGATTAAACTTTTAATAAGCTTATACTTGTTTCTTCGTATTTTTTTAAGCAATTGCCAGTACCCAAATAAGCTTAATGTTTGTATGTATATCTAAAATACGTAACCTTGCAATATTATAGCAACATTGTGCTCTACAATAAGATATTGCACTTACTGAGTTTGACGAGATTTTAATAGACACCATGATTACTTGTTAACTGACAGTTGTTCATCACCTTAAACTTAAATGTACGCCCATCTCCTTTAAAAAAATAACATTGTAAAGTGATCCCGAATTAAAACTCAGCCGAAGTCTAAGGTTCAAAGAGCACACACTAAGCGCATAAACAAGCACTTAAAGCGACATCTATCGAAATCAATGTGTGTGTCTGTAGTGATGAATATGTTGACTGCAATTTGCTTTGAAATATATTTTTAATTTAATTTTAGCCTGATTGTTAATCGGACTATATATATGCTTTAAATAAAAACATTTATATTAGTATGTTTCAATTAGGTTATTGATAATACACTTTAAAAAAATCCATGTAGAGCTATTTTTATTGTTTCACTTGTACTCTCAATTGGACATACATTCGTATCTGTTAGTTTTTTTGTACTATCAACTTAATTAAATACATCAAAAGATGCATGTTGACAATAAGCATTATTATATTATTCGTTATAAAATGTTAATAACTTGCAGTCATATTATTCATTCTATTTACAGTAAGTTAAAAGCATGAACAGAAGCATCTTGTCGTTTAACAAACTGACAGTAGATTTGAAGTATGTATACTTTGCTATTAATATAGAATAGGTAGTGGATACTATTTTTATCATTGTTGATGTATTAACTGTCAAATTAGCTAACAAATTTCACTAGCACAAGGTTTGTTATCTAGTTTTGACTACTAGCCTCTGTATAAATGAACATATTCGAGTGGTTGTTGAGATAAAGTTTATTGATGTTGTAAAGACCTACATAGTAGTTGAATACAGACATAGTTAATAATGTATCGTGTGTATGTATCGTAAGAGTAACTTGTAATAATATATTTTATCAATTTAATCTTATCTTAGCTATTCCACGTTTTCCCGAATAGGAATTACTACCTGTAACCAAAATTACGGTGTCCATAATAAACATGTTGAAAATAAACTATTCTTTCCTTAACAACAATATTACCATATTTACAGTCTTCTTTACTTTTATACCGGATAACTTAGTTTATCGCGTGAAAAAAAATATCGCATGATAGTTACACGACGGCTATTCTATTGATATTAAAATCATTAAACAATTACCTCATTTATTTCTCAGAAGGCAATTTGTGTCAGATTATATTTTGGATAATTGACCAACAGATATGACTACTTTTTCAAATGTATTTAAGCCATAGTCATTTGCCATTTTCATTTGAACGACATAAGTTATCCGGTGTATATATGTATCACGTTTTGTCTTACTTATTCAATTATATAAATACGTATCACGAACATCTTATCATGACCTTACGACATTGAATAGCTTGCATCGAAGGTCGAAGGTCATATATCCGTTTATCAACACTTGTGCAATTCTTCCGCTGCAAGGTTATTTGTCAGTGCACATTTGTTATTTATTTGCCTTTACCATAATTCCTTTAATATTTCAGATTCGGTCCTAAAAATATCAGTATATACTAAATGCGATTTTGAAAGTATACGAAATTTTTTTATAACAGTGTGCTTGTATTTTTTGTATGTAAAAGCTATATATTTTTCTATATGCATGTTTGTTTTATGAATATATGTTTGTTTTGTCTTTCTGTGTTTTAATAATACGATATTTCCATTCCAACGGCTGTATGAACTTTTAATTGCCATATATCGGGATATTAAACATTGTTGTCACATCCTTTCAAAAGGAGAATTTATCTTGAAAGAAAAAAATAAAACATTTATTAAATATCACGACGAAACCTACGCGATAAATAGGACAAACATCATGGTGCTGGTAATAATTTATTAATTTCAGTAGTTTTACTGACATTTCACTAATATTTTAGGGAACAGTCGCAGCCCAAATGTTCTCTGTGACCTGAGTGACGGGCCCCATCAGTGCTTGACATCAAGTTGAGATTATCGCATTCCAGTCAACTGCACATACTGCACATGTCACTACCTGAGGCATTGCTATTCAGATTTACCACTTTAATATACAAATTGGTTAAACCATAATTGTCAAATTTTCTATTTATGTTCATTTGATTTGCACCATCCAGCTTAATTTTGTAAACCTAACATCATATATGTGTATTACAGTTTTATTATTGTGTTCATATAAGTGTTGTAAAAAGAGGTATAATAACTATTTTAAAAGTGATAGTATAATACATTTCTGTAGGGAGCGCGATAAGTGCAATAATTTAAGAAAATTAGTGCTATTACTGAGATGTATTGGCTTTCATTGTTACGCAAATATACACGGTTGTCTTGTCGTACACATAAACGACTAAAAGAAATAATGATATGTAATAGTAATTACTATTATATATTGCTTAAAAAAATGTTCAGGCATGAAAGACTCATTGCTGCAGATAGGTATATAGGTATATTTGATTTTAAACTAGACAGATTATGTAAAGATTATAATGTACAGCGTAGTTCAGAGTGCTTTCAAATACGACTTTTTTAATTGAAGAATCAGGCGTTTTGATATTGTGCAATATGTCGTGATGGCACCTTTCAATATATAATGTCTTAAGACATGGCTTATTCGTATTGTTATAAAAAAGTGTTTTTGTTTATTGTAACAAATAAATTTGATAGTAATGCTTCACAAAGCATTATATTTATTTATGGTTTAATCAATGTTAAATATTTTAAAACAAATCTGAATCATTGCAAAACACAAATGTTTTCTAAACAATGTTACAATATTATGATACAAATAATAACTTTGCAGTTATTTCAATTAGTACTACTTCGTTAATTTTTGATCATTCAATAGGTGTATTGTTTAAGATTAAGTGAATAAAGTTCCGTAATAAATCTATTTGTTCAGTTGTACATTTTTAGAAAACAAATTTCATTTGCACTTTCCTATGTGAATCATGTTATTATATGTGATGTATTTTTATTTTGTGTTACTTTCTATTTTTGCCAACAACTTTTTAAAAACACGTATTTTTTTATTGAATTTAATTTATGTTATTACATTTTCAAACACATCGATAAATTGAACTATTTCTGCATTTAGTATACAAAATAGAATGAAAATCTTAGATTAGGCTTGGGCATGTTGTTCACTATCAATTTATAAGGATTATTGAGAAATGTTTATATCGGGCATATTATTCTCTCATATTTTAGGGGATAGTGAATTGAGTAATGTAGTATAATAAAAAAAAGAGAAATTGTACTTAGATACCTAATTAGAAATTCTCGCCTTTTGTTGCGGAATTGTAATTCGTTAAATATTTATCACAAGCCATTTTTCCTAGTCTATATTCTAAAAATATGTTAGATACAATATAAAATGTACTTATGTGTTAAAATGCAGTGGTGAAGATGATGCAATAAATAGTTTAATAATTAATCCAACCATGACGTACTGTTGTAGGGTTAAAGAAAATCTATAGATGTTGGATTATTTTATGATTTCTTGCTGTTATTTTCATAGTGTAAATAGACTTTCGCTTTGTAAAAATGTTTTTATGTCGTTCTAGTTAATAGTTCGGTACCTTTACTATTGCGTCAATTTGTCAATCGTTTAAATAAGCAGTATACGTAAAAACAGAAGCCTTAATTACAGTAAATAAAAAATAAAACATACATATTTAGTTTTTTTCAGGGTAGTTTCGGATAGTTAGAAAATCACATTGCTGTGTAAGCTAAATTTAGGAGGTAAGATCTAAATATGTCGGCTTCTGTTTTTATATTATAGGTAAGCAATATTTTGTACTGAGCAATATTTTGTTTTTCATGATTATACAGTGTCAGATAAAAATGGTTTATTATTTTCAGATATAAGATACGTAATTATATACATACCTACCTACTATGAATTCTAAACAGCGACATTTAAGTAACAGTATTTTATTGCATTAAGATTCTTTCAGAAATACTTACAAAAAAAATCAAGAAACTTCATTAAATTTCTAGTAGGTTGAATAGTGGAAAAATTTAACTTTTTCAGCAACTACGAATATTGTTTTAAATAGACAAAAGAGGCGTAAAAAACAAAAGTTTATAAAACGGACAAGAACTATAGCGCTAGTTCGCATATCTATAATATCTAGTACCTCAATACATTCCGAATAATTTAATGTCTTTATTATAAATTTTACGTTTACGTATGTTTGACGGCGTTGGTGGACTAGCGGTTTAGCACACCGATTTATTTTCAATGGTTGATTCCTTGCACAGTACAAACGTTTGAATTCGCGAGTTTGTATATACAAAAACAAGTATCAAGTATTTTAGTCAGTTGTTTAGTACCCAGAATACAAGCTGTTTATTTGGAAACAAATGGCGCTGTATGAATTATCCAGTTTATTATTAGGTATTTTTTATGTAAAAGGAATTTACATGGATTTATACCTCACAAAGAATATATATCTATTTTAAAAAAGTTTTTTTTTTTTTTAATAAGGTAGCTATATACATGGCTTAATTAAAGTTGGAGGAGCAGGAAGAACTTGTTACATTTAGCTACAGCGTTTGAATATTCATCTACATTCACATTATCTCCTTTTTGTGGTAACTAATTCAGCACTAATCGTTTCATTATGTATCGTGTTCAGTATATTATGCCATTATATAAATTAGAAATTTAATTATGTATTGGTAAGTACATGAGTAATCTTGTCTATAATTTTTTTATTAGCCCTTGATAAATTGAATTGAATTAACAACTGAACATAATTGAACCTAATCTATGTGTATGAACATATATATAATATATATAATAACTGGTTTCGAAGGTTTTGGATAAAAAACATCAAGATGGCTTTATAGTAATTAAGTTTACCTAACACTTAACATTCTACGAATTAGGTATCAGCCACAACATGAATTACATAATTCTTATCTTGAATAAAAAGGTTTATTAATTTTTGTATTTTTTTTTCAGGATGAAAGTGGACAATTAGTTACACAAATATTTAGTTATTTTAGTCTTCTCGAAATTAGATAGATCTTTGAATAATTAATTTAAATATTTTTAAAAGATTAGACGTACCTATGTAGACTATTTGTGCCCCAGTGATTTGTATTAGTGTGAAAGTTATTTACAATTACGTAATATGTTGTTATCTATACATTTTAATATAAACTTTATAGTTTTAAGTAGGTAATTAATGTGTATATTCAATCTGAATATATATGTAATAATAAAAAGAAATAGGTTGATATAACGATATTGTTAGTATACACTAAACTTTCTTGACTTGCTATTTGTCAAGAATACAAACCATCACTTCTTTATCCTGCTAATGCCGATTCTCGCAGACTTATCGTGCGTTATTAAACAATGTACAAAATATAAATGGTTGCTTCGGTGATTGGAATACGAATTTTTAATAATTATTAAATGAGCAATTCATTTCTATACACTATTTTTTCTTGACTGACTATTTTTCAAGAATAAAGACTCACTACTTTATCCTGCTGATGGTGATGCTAGCTGTCTCATCGTGCGCTATTAAACAATGGACAAACATATAATTGATTGCTTCGGTGATTGTAATACGAATTTTTAATAATTATTAAATGTGCAATTCATTTCTGAGTTCAACTATTTTCTATGAAATATCTGTATATAAAAGAATCTTATAAAAAAATAAACAGTCTAAATAAACTTTATTGCAATTATTTCTGACTACTCTTTTTACTGGTTTATTATGAAGATCTAAAGGTATTGTTAGGATTGATGATAATGGTAAGATACATATGCCTGCGTTCAGGGCCGGTCCTCAGCGCCCATGCATGCAATTTATTTTTTATTATTATATTATATATATTTATTTTTATGCAAGCGCGGTTAATGTCTCTGGCTGCGTTAACGGTTTATGGTAGCGGGGCATAGTGGAGGATAATAGGATGACCATGAAATCAAGTCAGCTGCCCATCATGTCGAATTCCAATTGGAAATAAACCACGACGGTTTTAAGGGAGAGCCGTAGTGGACGTTAACTGGACATGATAATTGCTAGCACTGGGGCCCCTGATCCCCATTATTAACAATCTTCTTCCCCATGATGTTGATAAACATATAATTATTGTTAACAACTTAAGTGTTGAAATTAACATTGGATAGTCGTATAAAAGAACAAATGTACTTAATGTTAAAGAGATATAAATAGAATCATAAAAAGTATGGCGCTTGTGCTAAATTTTATCATTGTATTTAACTCGACCACTAAGATAAGCATTGGTTGTTTCTAATGAATAAAAGGCATGACTGCTTTCAAAATTTGTATTAATTTGTACGTTGTAAGACAGAACATTTTCGTTTATCTTCCGAGACATTTTTTATATAACCATTATAAAAATCTAACGCTGATATTTCTCTTTTACCTACTATTCTGAGCGATTTGAAATGTATATATTTTCTATCTCTACATAATATCTTAACGGCTTCTGATTTTTGGCAAAATTCAAGTGTTCCTACTGGCACGCTGGGGTCTGCAACATAGTTATCGTATATGAAAGCATTAAACAATTTCATCTGTTTATCTCTAAATTTTGTAGTTAATGGATATAAACCATATATTGCTCGATAGAGATTATACACTTGTAATGCATCCATTTCTGTCCATCTTACTTCACTTAAAGTTTTATTAATTTTTTTAGCTGAAAAGAAATAATAAATACTTTATTGCATTCCTGCAATACATTCTTTTGTAGCCTGTCTGTAAGAGATTACGACGACAATTAGTTATAGAAATTGTTGGAATATTTTCTAAACCGTTATTTAACTAAACATATTTATAAAGTTTTCAATATCTACATTGTTTATGCCTATTACATAAGATTTATGAAACTATTCAGTTTTAGGTGTGGTTTAGTATTCAGTAAATAATAATAATAACTATGTCACGCTACACAAGTGCGACATAGTTATTAAGGATTTTAAGTACACACATAGTTATTAAGGGCGTTAATTAGGACATATTTTAATTATAGCATCATTACTGCTAGTATATACATTGTAAAATAAAAATCAGTTCTTTTTCTTTCTCATCCATTGCAATATTTTGGAATAAATGTAACAATTATTCATGTCTATAGGTTTTAGTATTTTATTTTTTAAGTAATATATATATGTCTTTGTTTCTCTTTAAAAATACTTTTAGAAATTATATGCAATGATATTTCATATACCACCTACTTAACATAAATTATATATTGTTCTTTTAGTGACCATAATCACAGATGATTAATATTTAACAAATTAATTACCATATGTAACACCCTCCGAACTTTGTGGTTTAGTCTGGGTCAAACTGTCTGGTAATGATTCTATGCATTGCACTAACATGTCTGCACCAATCTCTGACAGTTGTTCAGTTAATTCTGGTAACCTTATATCTTGTGAAATTGGAACTATTTTTTGACTTATAATTTCACCTGAAAATACAAATCACTTTAGTATTCTAACATTGTCCATCTCCTTTTATTATTGAATATATCTACATTAATGGTACTAGTACTACTAGGTCTTAATTTTTAATTACAATATACAAAACTTGGATGTACGTATACCCAATAAACTGTTCTACAAAACTATAACATATATAGTAAAATATTACTAAAAATGAGATGTGAACATACCCACATCAAATACATCAGGTTTGATTTTCATAAGTGTGACTCCAGTTATTTGGTCACCATGTAATAATGTGTGAATGATAGGTGCAGCTCCACGCCACCTTGGTAATAAACTTGGATGTACATTTACCATTCCCCTATAAAATAATACTGATGCAGAATATAGTACATAATTACAATGTATATAATTAGTGCACACAGGGATAGATAGGTATAATTAGTGTGCATAGGGATAGGAAAAAATTTAATCCAAAATTGCATTTGGATAAGAAATGATACTAGCCATTGATGAAAGACAAGTGCTATAAAGGAAATACATACAGTAGCAAAAAAGTTATTTAAATGTAAGAAATAAAGGATATAATGTATAATAGAATAATAAAGATTATTACTATTATTGTGGCAATATTGTTATTATTATTCCAGTAACTTAGGTAGCCACATCATCTATCATCATATTATCAGGACTATGCAGCATAGATGACTGGAATACTTAGGCATTGGATCTTATATTACCTACCAATTCATACTGTGATCAAGGTAGCAACAGACATTTTGAAGGCCAATAGACACAAAACAGAATATTTGCATTTAAGTAATAAGAATATTTTTTAATAACAGTAACAAAGAAATTTGTGACAGACACAGAAAATTTGTGAAAGAAATTTGTGTCTTGTAAATGAGGGTGGATTGAAAAGTTCGCGGCCTCAGCAAGAAAACAATACAAAATAAAAAACAAAAGTAATTTTATTTTTCCATGTAATCTCCACTTAACTCAATGCACTTCTTCCATCTGGTTTCCAACGCCTGTATGTCAGTCATAAAAAAGTTTCTTTAAGGCCTTCAAAAAGGCACCCACAGTAGCTTTGACCTCCTCATTTGATACAAATTTTTGACCTCCAATGTTTTTTTTTAGGTTTGGGATTAAATGAAAGTCTGAAGGTGCCAAATCAGGGGAACAGTAATTCAAAGCCACAATCACGATTTTGAGCCATAGATTTAACAGATGTTTGAACGCGTGCATTATCCTGATGGAACAACAATTCTTGCAGAGTAATTCTGGCCTTTTCTCTTTGATTGTTTCACGCAAATGATGTAAAAGGGTGCAGTAATAAGCTGAGTTTATAGTTTCACCTTTTGCAAGTAGTGGTAGTCCACCAATAGTGTCTGCAATCTCCCTGATGGTTAATCTCCGATCTGCTAATATCAGATCACAGATTTGTCATAAGTCATAGACATCATAGACCAGCTGGAGCGAGCAGGTTATCTTCAATACTCTCTCGTCCACTTTTAAATTCTGCAACCCACTTTTTTACAGTTGTATACTACGGAGCAGATTCTCCGAATGTTGTTGACATATCTTCATGAATATTTTATGGAGTTAGTTTTTTTTAAACAGGTATTTGATGACTGCATGTGGCACAATTTTCTCCATTCTTTAAAGATGCTGCACTTAGGCTTAATGCTATTGCAATAGAATTTAGTAGAGAATAGAAGTAATAACCATTGGGTAAGCAAGGAAGGAGGAATTCTTGAACTATTTCAATTACATTAAAATAGTTCAAGAATTTATGTGTTAGGCCACAAATATTTCGATCTACCCTCTACAATATGATGAAGGAAATGCAGAAAATTTTTTAGCACTTCTATATATCTTTATATATAGAAAGGAATATAATGGACAATTGTACAATTACAATTACTACTCTTGATTCTAAGAAGCCTATATAATTACAAAATTTTTAAATAATCTACTTGACAGTTACTCACATAGGGAAATGTTGTAGAACTGAGTGTTTGATTAAATGACCAAATGCAACAATTAATCCAATATCATATTCTCCAGGTTGAATTGTAAGAGGCCATGTTAATATTTGTAATCTTTCACTTGCAGCATATTTTTCAATTACTGTCCTATTTTTTGAAGTGTTACTTGTAACAATGTTTAAACATTTAATTTTATGGCTATTTTTCCTGCAATAAGACAGAATTTAAATTACAGTAAAAACTGAAACTATGATAATAATGTTAAGATGTAAAACATTTTTGTGTTAGCATAAGTACTAGCACAATATTATGTTTTACATACAATATGCCCACAAATTACAATGTATATGACTGATGAATGAGATCACTTAGAACTATTATCATCATCAGATCTAATGATTCCGCTACCAGTTTGAGTTAGTTACAAAAGAGACGAAGACAGAGTTACGTGAAAGAATAAAAGAAATCGGTTCTCTTTGCTTACCTTGTAAAGAACCTACAGTTACAATAAATAGTATTTATAATCATTGTATTACTGACCTGAATTCGTTTACTTTCCTCAAACTACTAAGTGCTATACTGTCAGAGCCAAAAAAAAGCACATTGTAAGAACGTTTGCTGTAAAAATTCCTCATGTATTCATATTGTTTTCTACCGATTATTCGAGAGAGATTATTGATTTCATATAGCATTTTCCTTTTTACACTTATTATTAGTTAATCATGGCTATTTTAGAAGTAGACTCGTTTATATTTTTAAATATTATTGCAACTTCGTTATATATTTCATGATTAGATAATGTAAATTTCATAAGGTGATATATTGAAACGTTGAACGGTTTGGTTTCTCTGAATGTAGTCTGTATTGCATGACAACTTGACATATGACAGTGATATTTGTCTAGGCTAACGTCATTAGGATCCGAATATTTTTTGTATGAAACCGTGATACAAATGGTTTTTGAACGAGGCGTATTTGCAAGTTATATTTACTGTTTGCTTATGTTTATTTTGTAGGTTTATGTCGTATTTGTAGAATATGTGCAAGCCCGTCTCAGATCAATTGTTGTGTAAAATTCTGAAAGCTCTTTAGACACATTACAGGCAACAGCCTTCAGTTCAATTTTCATTAGGTCTATCCCAACTATGTAATATTATGTTATCTGTGATCCCAACATTTCTAAACAAAGTATGATGTATGAAGTATAATGGCATCATTGGCGTTCGGTTGACTTACTTGCCTTTGCTGTCAGTAGTTTTTTTCTTTTTTATGGCTTGGCACTATTCAATAGTTTTAGATTCTGTGATCAATTTACTTAAAAAAAAGTACGCCGTCTATTCTGGATTTTTAACTGACATCAAATAAAGGAGAAATGTTGTAAATGAAAGAATTCCATGCCTTCATATATCTAAGGCTATTAAATTATACTATACGGATTATACTTGGACATTTCGTTTATTTATTTAGCAAATTACATATTACACGATATAGTTACATTAAACATGCCACTGAAACCTCTTGCTCTTGCTCGTGTTTCTGTGGCATCCATTCCTGCATTCCTCCAATCTTAACTGTACAATAAGACAATAACAGAAGTACTTATAACTAATTACCAAAAAAATATGTAGAAAGCTTAGACACTATGTGATTTCAATTTGTATCCTATGTAACAATAATATGGAGATGCTGTAACCAACTATATAATTGATATAGAAAGATAAATATTCTTTATTCAAATAAATACTTTTCTTTTCTTTTCATACATGTATGTATGACTATTCTATTTAACACTATTCTATGACATTTTCTAGGTTTGCTGGAAGAAATCTCTTTAGAGATGAGCTCGCCCTTGTACATTTATTCTATATAATTTAATTTACTATGTGTGTGTGCACAATAAAGAAATACAAGCACTTTTGAATAGTTATATATATTTATTCATAACATTTGTTAACTCGAGACTTTGTTACGGGAGAACGTAGAAATTATAAATACCTACACAGTTCTGTACAGTACAAACGTTTTCTAGAATGACTATTTTAATCTAATAAATCGACTGCCAACTTCCAACTATCATCTGATGATGAATGATAATATTGTAATAAATTGTTTGTTTTATAGTATCTATTAAATTAATTATTAGGATTGGTGGCATCTTATTATCTCTATCAAACCCCTACGGTTTCCTTTGTCTAAAAAAGCTTTACATTGTAGTTTCTTAAATTAATTATAGGTAGGTATACATTTTTATTGAATACACAAGATGAATACTATAATTTGTGACCTACATAAGTTAATAATTTTAATAGTGTGTGATTTGTAATAATCAAAAAATATCTATGATTTATTTATCCAACTGTATTTAGTATTAAATATCCATGTATCTAATACTATAATTTGGTACCTGCATAAGGTAACAACTTTAGTAGGTACTATCTTGTCCACGGTTTTTAGAACCCTAGGAACTTTGATTCGAGAGACCGCGGTCCGTAGACCCGAGGGGATTGTGTTTTGATGCGCCTTTTTCCACCCTTTTGGTACGACATTCACTTTTCATACTTTTCAACTCAATTTTCAATTGCGTGAATTACTTTAGATTTTATATAGGTAAATATGATTAATCAAAATATCATTTAACAGTGGTTATAGTTCCATAATAATCGGCTGAATTATGTTAAGTTTACATAGCAATGAATGGTTCGATTTCTTATATAGGCAGTATTATTGAATACGATTCCCACTTGAATGGTTTCGTATTTACTTCATTTTTTTTTAATCGATTATTTTATACTGAATGTATATTGTAGGTACAATATGTTTCTACTTAACTAATTCAACCTTTTTTTTCATAACGTTTTTTATAATGTTAAATATCAAGATCTGTATTTAAAGAAACTACTACACTCTTAGTTGATCGACCTAGGAAACTCATTCTCTTAACAAATTGTGGCTCACGATACCATGACGGTGGACTGACTACGTCTTGTTCAAAGCTTTTCATACTTACATTTGATTGTGTTCGTTCATTTTTTGATATTTTTGATGATATTGTCTTCACTCTATCTTTATTAATTTGTGTTATTTCTTGACCTCTAAGTGGTATGTCTTTCATCTCTATAATTTCAATGTCGGCATCAATTGACTCTTTGCTGATTCTATGAATTTTGGTAGTGTCCGTAGAGTAGTCTCTAGTTTTTATCGTCCCTCCACCTCCCGATTTATTACGGTAAATTAGTTTTTTAAATTCCTTACGGAAATTCGGGTGTGTTATTATATAAATGAATGGATTTATACAAGCGGCAGATTTACAGAACAATGCGGGAATCATTGAAGTTAATGGAGTTATAAGATCTTTTCTTCCAAATATGCCTATAAGCGCTATTATGGCATATGGAGTCCATGATATGAAAAATAAGAGTATGACAGCCATAACTAAAAGAGCTAGTTTAATTTCTACTTTACGTTTAATTCGCTCTTTGACGTGTCTTGTAGAGAGCCTTTGTTCTTGATTTTTCATAACAATATTTCTGTTACTAGCAACTACATGAAAAATGCTAATGTAACAATATGATATCAGGCTGAGAGGTGCAACCCAGGCGGCACAAAAGAATATAAATATAAAGACACGTGGTAAGTGCTCCTCTGTAAGGTAGTCGAAACTGCAACTTGTTAGATAACCTTCGGGAACATAGTGTCCGTATCCGAAGTCGAAAACAGGTATCGAAGCAAATATTGCGGAATAGATCCAAGAGCTGACAGCCATCAACCGCGCTCTTAACACGGTCAAGGCCCGGAGGGGTTCTAGCGGTCGGACGACGGCCCAGTAGCGATCCAGTGCGATGGCTGACAATGTTGCTATGGAGGTGGTTCCAGTCAAGCCGCCGACAAATCCATAAATTATACAACCTGGGAAAATAATTTGGAAGTATTAATTGTGTGTGTAAGTAATATTCCTAGCTAAATACTGCCGTTTATTGTTATATATTAACATATTTCCTAGTAAGTAGTGTAAAAACGGATCAGTTATATATATAAATTATGATTTTGTAATTACCCGATTTACCCAAGGCTGGACCAAGATTAAATGAATTGAATATGAAGATAGGAGTTTTGGCAAGCATCAAAAAGTCACTGAGAGCGAGGTTAGCTACTAGTATGTTTCCGGGTGTGCGTAGTGATCGGCATCTGTAAAATAACAAAAATTAAAGCCAAGTTGTAGAAACTTACGATGAGACTAAGAAACAATAATATCAAGGAAGGTAAATTCAGGGGATAATGTTTCAAGAACAACTATAGGTACCTATTAGTTAATCACATATTAAGTATCAATTCACTAGTAATAATACAAAAAAAACTTTGGAAAACATAGGTATAGTAAGATCTAACTAAAATCTATCAGATAGATACAGCATAGTTTCATTAATTATCCCATCATTGTTATCACGGAAAGGAGGATAAACTTCAGCAATGCACGATGACGCAGAAAACAGATAAATGAAAAGATAATTATAATTCTAAATACAAAGGGACGTAATCGTGTAGTTACAATGTTGGAGCTCAAGGTTTAGGTGGGCAGGTACTTACTTTATCGTAACTACAGATGTATATTAAATTGATATTGAATTTCTTATGCCGTCACTAGTCTAATTATTTAATATTTAAATATACCTAACTGGTATTTATATATTGACACAGGTGTCTTTTAACGACGTATTTTGATTATTATAATTTAGTTGTAATTTAATTGCGCACCTTTCCTCTTGGTCTTAACTGGAACTAAAAATGGAAAATAAAATAATAATATATTTGTTGTATTTTTCTATTTGTGTTGTAACACTTAATGCAGACGAAGATTTAAGTGAATATTTATTGAATAAGCAGGCCATTTCATTAATCACGGGTGATAATGATTCAGGCGCAAGTAAATCTAATAAAAATAACAACACAGGTAGGTACCTACTTACGTATAGGTGGTACTAGACATAATTATTTAATTGCTTATAATTATCACTTTAAATACATATACTTATATACACATATACACATATACGGGGACGGCGATATATATATATATATATATCGCAGTTCCCGTAGAACACTATGGAAATTCTATTAACATTGTAAATGCAAAAGTTTTAATAATTAATGAATGTTTTTACTTTTTAAAACAAAGACTACTGCGCGGAATATTCAAAAAAATAGTAAAGGACTTAGATAAATGCTCTAGATATAGAGTAAATAACATAGGTTACTTTTTACCAAAATATACACGGGATATGCAGGGGTTATAACTAGTAATTAAATAATTATGCTCATCACTATAAAGTACTGTGTGCAAATAGAGTTATATAAATATCAGTAATAATAATAATGGATATCTTAAAAACGGATCTAAGTATTTGGGTAATACCTTAAAAGTTTTTTTTACAGAAGATGGAACTAAAAAGAGTTATCTAAAGTGTTCCAAATATATTGGAAGTTTATTAGCATGCATATTGATAAATAAAGACTATTCTACTGGATGGAAGGTAGATATTGGTAACGTAGAGATTCCCAACACACCGCCGAAGAAATTTGATAATGAACAAGCACGGAATACAATTCCTGGTGCTATAGGGGACTGGATTGAAAATATTTTCAAAATTATATTGTCATAATGTCTTACTTCCACGATCCTTAAAATATGTGTTTATTATTGTCTATAAACTCTTGCTTACGGGAAAGTATAATGTTATTAATATATGACTAAAAATAAATTAAATTATATATTTTTATAATGTAGAGGTATACATCCTCAATAAATATATATTTTTACCTTATTGAAAATAAAAATATGCCTAATATCGAATAATATTCTTTTATTTTCTTATTCAACACCCCGAAGGGCGCTGACACCGCGCCGTGACGTATCCGAGCAATGACTAATTTAACTAAGGGAAATTTGTTTGGTCCATTGCGCCCGCCTATATATCCACTTGCCCATTTTCTACGTTTGCAAAGCTGATAATTGATTCAATTAATTAAAGATTATTAAGTTATGTAAAAATTTATTTTATTTTGTAGGTTTAGGCATTTAGTTAAAATATGTATAACACAAAGATATGATACTTTCATAATTAGATGTCGAGACAAGATATAGAGCTAAACGTTTTCAGTGCTCGCCTGTCTCTGGGGTACGTCCGGTTGACTACCTTTTAATCTATTGTCTTAACATCATCCCTCCGATTGGTATCCTATCCCATTCAAATGGGCAACGAAATTACGATGGCTTCAGTCTAGGTTCGAATCCATAGAGATACCATCAAAATAAAGGTGTATTTATCAGGCACTGAAAGAATGTTCCTTCCACCTCTAGGTGAAAAAATAATAAAGAAATAGCTGCATTGTATTTCCACTTCTGTTATCCGCCTTTTGTAACGATCCATCTCGTCCTGTTTTCGATAATAAATATTTTTGTTTGTTTGTTACTTTGGAAAGTAGGTCAAAGGTTAGATAGGTATTTATTCCCTCAAAAAAGTTAGTAAGTAAAGTAACTTAGTACTTAATTATACGTATAAAAGCACTGCAGGTAATCAACTATTGGGAAATTATAAGGTTACAAGTATTGATAATATCTACTATAAGAATCTCTAATATATCTACAAAGAATTTTAATATATGTAAGTATGATTTTGATAATGTAAGTATAAGATTTTGATAATATTAATTATAATTATAACCAACTAGCTGTACCCGCGACTTCGTCCGCGTAAAATAGTGACCTTGAGCAAATAATAAAATATATATATTAATAATCTAACCCAATAAAAAAGTTTCATCGTTCTAGCTTCAAAAATGAATTTCCATACATAATTCCATACAATTCAATCAACAGCCAAAAACTAAGTTTTAAACTACTATCTTTAAAATGAAGATACTTCCATACATACCATACATACATTACATCTCCCCTTTCAACCCCTTATAACCCTTTTTCTTGTTTTTTTTAATGCTACTTATATTAGTGTCATCATGTACCAATGATAAGATGTCGCTATAATGTAACCATTTATGGCTGAGTCCTGTGGCGGTAGGTACTGATATTTTCTCAACAGCCTAAAAAATGGGTTTCAAGTTTCTAGCTTTAAAAAATGACAATACATGCATACAACATTTTAACTCCCCTTTTGACCCTTACAACCCATTTTCGTTAATTATATTTAATCAATACGCAAAAAAATAAGATTTTAGCTTAAACTTTAAAAAAATTCTTCTTTCAGTCTCTTATAACCCTTTTTAGCATTAAAAAGTAACCTATGTCCTATCTCAAGATCTAGACTTTTAATTTCATTTAAATCAGTTCAGAAGTTTTGGCTTTTAAGACAGACAGACAGAGTCACTTTCACTTTCATAATATTAGTAAGGTATTTATTAAATAAACTGACCCAAAAAAGCGTAAGAAAAAAGCTTCATCGTTCTAGCTTCAAATATGACGAATTTCCATAAAAACTTTTATCTGCTATTTTGTTTTACCCCTTGAATGGTGACAATGTGATATTTACAAATTTAAATGTCATATTTATTTATATTTAATAAACAGTTTAAACATTTCTTTAAATTCTTTTGAAAATTGGTGGTCCAGTTGGCCAATAACATAATAAAATTTTGTTAAATCAAAATAATAGATGTGATATTCTAAATTGCAAACTATCCCTCTACTTGCGCGAACCATATCTCTGACTCTACTGGCCAGAATGGAGAAACGCGTATTCCGAACCTGAATAGCTCGGATGGAACGGTAGATGTTGTTTCTTCCAAGGAAATGTTGTTCATACGTATTGACAACATTTTTAATATTATATGTTGTTTTATTCTTCAAAAATATTAATAATATGTTCTTACGCTCTTGTCCAAGAGCAGGGTCATCAGATATAGGCTATACCAGGATTATATTTATGTATTTATAAAATAAAATTGCAGAGCAAACGTTTATTCATTTAAATTCATAAGGAGACAACGGATTGACAATAATCAGTTGCGCGCGCAACATCGCCTGCGCGCTGCTTATACAAATGACATATATGTTTATTTATGACATATGAGCGTTAATAAGTCGCATACCTAGTACAATACTGGTGTAATTCAGAAATTAAAAATTTTTGAAAATAGACTTAATAACACAATTATAAAGTAGACTTTCCAAAATATCAAATTTTTTAGTTAAGCCATTATTATAATAAGTGTGTATTCAACCGCATAAAGATAACCTTGCATTACCATTTTCAACCCCTTACAACCCTTTTTTCGCATTAAAAAGTAGCCTATGTTCTTCCTCGGCGTCTAGACTATATGGGTACCAAATTTCATTTAAATCAGTTCAGTAGTTTTGGCGTGAAAGCGAGACAGACAGACAGACAGACAGACAGACAGAGTTACTTTCGCATTTATAATATTAGTAAGGATAATTTATTTGTAGTCTTGTAACAATGTATCTCACATTGTTGCCTATTTTTTTAATGTATCTAATTGGAATGGTAAACAAGCTAACGGTCCACCTGATAGTAAGCGGCAACTGTCACCTATATACCACATGAACAGCACTACGGGCAACACGTTATCATGTGGTTGGTCACCACTCCTGGTTCCAGAGGACTACAAAGTTATGTCTCGTATCCTCTAATTTCACTGCATAATCTGCGCCTAAATATAACACAGTTTACAAAGCAAATTCTTTGACGTCTGAAGTAGGTGAAATCACAGATAACATAATATTACATAGTAAAACGCACAAAACTTTATACAGTCTACCTATCGTAAAATATTAATATTGAATTGCAATTAATATGTATTAATTAGACAGCAAACTGTAAAATTTTGTGTAAATTTTATATACCATCATGAATATTATGTGTACGTACGTAATGTAGGTACTCATAAATTGTATGAATATCGAAATATATAGTACTTTAACGTTTAATATTTATTTTCGTAGATTGCCTTCTCCTTATTTGTTCAAAGTAGATACTTAGAATAAATACACAAATCTGCTTAATAAATATTGTCATAACAAAGTAAATAAGTAATTAGGGTAAAACTCGGATAGATGCGCCACTTTTTGAAATTGCCTCCTAATTCTTTAAATATTACTTTTTATTTTATTTAGTTCTATGTAACTATAATAGTTTAATTATTTATGTTGAATTACTATTTGTTTTTTTTACCTATCAATTACAGATTATGCAGAATTTAGCTTTTTGTGGAACCCTGTTTTTGAGGATCATCTATCCTCCTGTACCTCGAAAATTCAGGGCAACTAAGGATAGGTAAGATAAGAATCACAAAGGATTGTGATAGGGACAGATGTCCAAGTATTTTTTAAAAAAAGTAAAATTAAAAGAACTACCATTTACATCTAGATGCACACTTAATGCGCCAATATATTGACGTAATAGAAAATATAAAAGAATTTATACCTACTATTTTTAAAGCTACACAACGGCAAATATTAACCTTTATATCTTTTACGTATTTCTGAAGTCCGCGGCGAAGATGATTACATGCACAAGTGAAATACATCCTCATTGAACAACAGTCCGTGGATAATGAAGATGCGGGGTCACTTTGGCTTCTACATATATTATTAACACTTAGTCACGAGTTTCGTAAGTATGGTTTTTTGAAAATGAGGCACCTTTCCCAATGCGGCATCTATCCGCGTTTTACCCTACTTATATATAATAAACAATTACATTCAAATACATTTAACTACAATACTATTTTGAATTAACTAGAAAAGCGTTATCGTATTCATCAGGAATTATACACGATATACTTAATAGCTATAACCTATGATATATTATAGGGTAAGGTGTACTAAATTATTTAGATTTATTAAGCTTCTCGAATGTTCTAAATAATAAACATATAAAATAATACTTACTTGAAATACATAAATAAAACAATAACATTTCCCCAACAGCCAAAAGTGGAGAATATCAGATAAAAACTTCCCAATGTCATCTGTAAGGATTGTGAAGGTGGCGGAAAGTGTAACCAATGTTCATTAATCATATCTAGGAAATCGTCTGAAAAAAATCCATACTTTCCCCATTTCTCTACCGGCCAAGTTCGTTTAAAATTAGCAATCACTAATCCATGCTTGTCCATATTCGTTACATTCATATTACCAGCGTCAGGAATGTTTTTAATTTTATCCACCATTGCTATTCGATGTTCCAGTATTATATTTATGTCATTATCTCTTTTCAATCGATGACTCAACGCATAGTATTCGGTACTTGGGTGTAATATATTAAATGGTTTTAAATAGTCGGAATTTATATCCCATAATTTATTCGAAGTCGAAATTTGAGCCATTAAATTCTGGCCACATAAGATGTTCATGACATGTAATAACAAACAAAACAAAATTTTAATGTCCATTTCTTATAAAAAAGTATAATGATAGACGTCTTTTCAGTACGAAATCTTGGGAAATTTTATATGAAATAATGATAATACTTTCGTGTTCAGCGTTCCCAACGAATAAGGAATTATGGGTACCGACCCTAGGGACCGATTCGCGGCTAATATATAACTTGATTAAAGAATGGCTTTTAACAAAATCTATGTATTTTATCATAATAATTCTATGAAATTGATTCATAGATCATATTAAATGGATTGGTAGATCTTCAGTGGTCTAGTGGTTAAGCGTACCGCTATACTTCCGATTATCGCGGATTCAATTCCTAGCATTGTACCCTACAAACATTTCTATAATATTTTTGTTTACATTACCGGTTTGAATGTTTTCTTTGTGTTATGTACCTATGTATTTACAAAAAAATGTAAGTACCTCTTTATATAACTTATTTGAATCCATGCAACAAGCTCTGCTTAACTTGGGACTAGATGACGTTTTGTAAAATGTGCCGAGGTATTATTATTATCATCTATTATGAAATACATAATATATAAGATATTAAATAGACGTATATGGTACAGGGTGTGTAGAGACACTTTAGCACTACACTCAGATATGATCTACATATATGATATGATGAGTATACTTTGAAGGATATTTCAAGCTTTTTCAAATAACCAAAATAATGATCGTTATAAGTACAGCTTAGCTAAGTAATAAAAGTATCAAATTATTTACAATATTCATGAATATTTTTAAGTATAGATACTTGTAATGGAAATTTTAATATTATAAAAAGATTGGTAAGTACCTAATTCTGTAAATTGTATATACCATTTTTTTCTCCAGAAATAAATCTTTCAGATTCCTTTACAGATACAAAAGTATTAACATGAAATATTAATTAGACTTGACTAACAGAGGCCACAGAAATGAAGTATGGTCGAGAAATTCACGTTATTATCTCAAGCTATTCGCAAAGTTGAAATGTTTCTATAAATAAATTAAAAAATCAATTGTAAATCCAAATAAACAATATAAAATATTAAATGTTTATTTTGGAAACAGTTTCCTTCACCTACTTTCTTGTCTATTTAATATGAATAGGTATTCGTTCCACAAAGTAGTGTAAACTCTGTTCTACAAAAACTGAATATACCTTCTGAATCATAAAATTAGTATATGTGACCAACATCAGAGTAAACCTTATCGATTGTAAAAAGAAAAAGTCATTAAAATTCGTTCAGTTTAGAAGATATGGCGTAACATATAAAAAAACTAACGGATTGTTTAATCTACCTACTTATTTTTGGTGTCATTTGATATACTTAGTAAGTATATATCTAACTATATAGGTATCGTACTGTAGGTATGTACCGTAAATATTTTATTATTTAAAGAAGTATCTTTTCTTCTACCATAGACTGCTACATTGATCTATTGTAACAGTCTATATTAAATACTAGCGACCTTACTGTTACCTGCACCTTTGTATGCACAAACTTTAATTTCATATTGTGAAATATGAAATTAAAGTTTGTGCATCTCATGCTGAATGACTGATGAATCTGCGTTCCGAATTAAAGATAGAATAAAAGGATATGTACTATTCAAATGCTTATAAGATTTGAATAAAGTTTATTTCTATTGATATAAAATACAGCATACATCCTTCATGGTGATACAATCGGTCTTCGTATTAAATGTTATTAGGATGAAAATGAAGATGAAGACAGATCATAATTCGTTCAGCCATGAAAAAGTAACAAATGGACAGAATAATTAAACAATAATGGAACACATAAATCATTATGATAAGGGGAGGGGTTATTAGTAACTCCATTGCTTGCAATGACAAGTCATGAATTATTTACTTTGTTTATTTTATTTATGTATTAAAATTAAATGCACTTATGTATATACAAATGTGCATAATACATAAAGTGCACATGGCGGAGTTAACATCTAAATTTCTCCCAGTCAACCATGTTTCTTATTTCGATGCTATTTTTATCAGTATTATAGTTAGTAATGAATTATTTTTAAAATAAGTATATATCTGTCTTTAGTTAAATGTAAATCTAAATTCTTTTGTACCAAAACCTATGTAAATAAACAAGAATAATAGAACATAAAAACAATGTTGTCCGGCGTCGCACCGCTGGGAATATGGAAACGAAAACCGATGTTTATACATAATTCTCCGCAAAGGTCGTCCCATCCGATTAGGTATATCAGTTCTGGGTTAATATTTGATTATCCTTTAAACATTCTTTACTAAATAAAATTTGTTAAGTTGACAGGTCTTATGCAAGTTTAATATAAAAAATGACATTCTTTTTGTTGACTAGTATCTTTTTAGGGGAAATTGAGAGAATGTGTTCGTCATCAATGACCTTTCTTACAAAGGAACTAATAAGTCTAAGATAAACAAAAAATAGGCAGAATCTTGTAGCAGTTATTAAAAGCTATACATTTAATAAAATAATAAGGTACAATAAAATTGTTAAAGCAATATAATATAAAACGTTAATTTTATAAATACTTTATGGAAGTTATATCAAGAGTTAATACTCTATTTTAAAGTAATCAGGGAAGACTTTGGAGTGGTGAATTATTCCATTGGCATACACGAAATCTAGAGCATTTTTTATACTATAACTATTTTCGATTATTTCTTTAGTAAGGTTTTTAGCCTTTATTATAATTTTGTTATAACCTATACTTTCACCTATAATTTCTTATTACGATTGAAAATTAAAAATCTGAAACATTGCAATATTCTAAAATACTGTGCTAGAACAGGTGAAGAAAAAAAATCACGAATGTCACGCCGACCTATTTGATTCCTAGCTTAAAAATAGGTTAATTGGTATTAGTAATGCAAAACAAACAATAAACGAAAACAAAACATAATACACAGTTATTTTTTTAAAAACTCCTTCTTAACGTTCTCCTCTCATTAAATATGTTCAATATTACCACCCTCCGGATAGGATAATGCTAAGCAAAGTCATCGTCTTGCAAAAGAAATTATCTTTCAGGAGCACTTTACTATAATTGCTCCACGCTGAAGAGTGCTTGTCGGATTTTAAATGGGGTGGCTATTCATAACCCCTCGTTTATAGACTTGTTTATGTACAGGTAAATTATGTCCTCCAAATTCATAAACGGTGTAATGTATTTTGACTACAAAAAATCTTTTATTTAAATATCTATCTATAATCTATATACTTTTTCTGACAGTATTAATAATTCGCTTAATAAATGGCTAACCAGTCAAAAACATTAAATGTGTATAGAAAAAAAAACGAAAAGGTAGTAAAATAATAGTAGATAGTAGTTGTAGAAAAATACAATTAGTAAATTTATTCATTGATGGGATATAAAACTTTTTAGTGTTTGATAATTATATGCGTTAGAAAGCATCTATTAATATTATATAAATGGTTATAAAATACAGTAATATAATATGGTAAGACTGTAATAAAATACCTTCTGAGATGGAATATTTTAATTATAATGATGCTGGAAAGTGCCCATAGGAACTAAAAATAAAAGTATCCAATCGACTTTGGTCTCGTATGACTTATTTCGATAATTACTTTGTAAAGTTATATTTAGGGTCTGATCCTGAAATTATTGACATGTATACCTACTTAAGAACCAATTCAGAGGTAGATAAAAATATAAATAAAATAAGTGATAGCAAAAATTATACTAACTACTTTTGTATAATAGATATGATTCATATTATCAATTATATTATCTGTGGCAGGCGGCACTAATAATAAATTAATCCCTTCAATTGGTAACCACTTGATCCGATTATGTCAATATTCCCAATTTGTAGCACGTAACGTTCCATTCTATTTTGCTAATCTTATAAACTAATTAATAATAATTTGAATTGTTTTAATATTGTTAGTATGGAGAAATAATTAGTTAATAGTTAATAGATACCTACACGTACACTAGGGATTTTTCAAAATGGGTGTAGGTATGTGAAATTATACCTAGACCTGCCTGCGGTAACTGTATACTAAGAAAGTCGATGAATGATGATCAAGGATCAAGATGAAGTCAGTTAGCCCTTGAAGAATTCAATAGGAAGTAACCATAATGGATAGAGTACCTACATTACTAACGGGAGTAGCTAGTAATAGTCTTATTGACTTTTACTACCTACTCCCGTTTCCACTACTTACAGTGATTTCATATTTTGTAATATAATAAATGTATTGAGGTATTATGTTTTGAATGTTACTAAGGACCGACCGACCGACCTTACACTGATCTACAGTGCTATATTTGATAATAAAAATCTTCTCGAGTCCTTTACATCCTTCCACAGAATTTTATTTCTACAATGACTTGGCATATCATAATTCAAACTTATAATATTATAGTATAAGCTTAACAAAACGAATTCCCCAAACGAATCTCCGTTTTGAGCCTTTGTGAGAATACTTTAATTATTTCTTCTGTAGCGCTGAGCCCTGCTCTACAGAAGCGCTACAGAAGGTGAAACTTGTCAAACTGTGTTTCTGTCCTGTTTGAGTGATCTATTTCATTTCTCTTTCAATGTTTAATTGTGTAAACCGTGTAATTATGAGCATTATTAGCAGGGTTTTTATTTAATGAGCATTGTTGTGATGTTTAACTAAGTTACTAATCATTTGTTTTTCTCAACAATAGAAACACGTAAGTAGACCTACAGTCTTATAAGAAATACATAAGTTATAAATTTATTCGCTTATATCATATAGTGTATATATTTTTTGTAGTAAAACATAGTGAAATATGTATCAGGAAAGATACGATTACGTTTTAAATGTCATAATAATTTTTGAATCCTTAAATTTTAATTGTTAATATAAATAAAAACACATAACAGTAGGGTCGTGATCGTACAACAGGTGGTTAATAATGCACCTTGATTTAACCAAGCAATATTTAGTGAAACAGTATCCATTCAGTGAGAAGGGCACGAAGCACCGATCTAAGACATGGCATT